TGGTATAAAACAAGCCTCCGAGTTCAGAGGTCAGAGGGCAGTAGTGGGCAAGTCATGAAAAGCAGCAATTATATAATATGAAGTCATATTACCTGTAAGGGCTAACATCAAGATATAAACAGTATTTGTGGGAAGAGACATATCAGTTGCTTAGATATGTCAGAAACGACTTCTTGGACGAGGTGTCATTGAGCCAGCGCCACAGAGGAGGGGATTGTCAGGCAGCCAGGGTGACGGGGGCCTCCGCAGACGCTGGGCGTGGAAGGAGGAGGCGGCCCTTGGCCTGGCCTGGCACGGGTTGGAGGTGCCCCTCAGGGCTGTGGCCTGACCGGGGAGGGCCCTGGTTGCCTCTGAGGAGCTTTGGACCTTCGTTTAAGGAACAGGGAGCAGTTGAGGCAGGAGGGCGGCTCGATAAAATTGTTTCTTAGACACCACGTTGGCTGTTCCGGGGAAGGCGATTGAGCAAGGGAAGACTTGTCGTCAGGAGACCGATAGGAAGCAGGTGAACGGGGCGGGATCTAGACGCAGTCTCTGGCTCAAGAAGAGGAGAAGGAAGGCTGCCTTGGCTGCCTTCTGAGTATTTCTGAGGCTCTAGACTGAGTTTTATAAAGCTTTGTATCCCCCGTGCCTCCCTCAATGCCAAACCTTTAGAGGGAGTTCAGCAAACATTTGCTGGAATTAGGAAATGGGACAGGATCGATTACATTTAGTAACTGTTTAGTAGGGACGGTGTGAAAGGGAGGGAGATGTTGGAGACTGAGTAGATCATATGGGGGTGGGGGGTGGGTGGGGAGAGACGGGTCCAGTTTGGGACATGCTCACTTTGAAGACTTTTTAAGATCATCCAGGTAGCGTGGGCCACAGAACGTTAGAAATATTAGGATGGGCCCTGGGAGAGAAATTAAAGGGCTGAAAATAAAGACCTGGAATCGTCAGGTGTGGGTAGTAGTTAAAGTGCTAGACACGAACTCGTCCTGTGAAACCAGGCAGGGGAAAGGGAGGTCCGAGGCGCATCCCTGGAGGGTGCCCGCCCTCGGAGCCGCGGGACCACAGGGAGCCTGCGCGGGGCCTGGACCTAGAAGCCAGGAAGCTAGGAGACACTGGCTGACGGCCTCAAAGGCTTCAGCAAGGCCGGTTTCAGCGTAGAAGTAAGGGTGGGAGGCAGGGCTGGAGTAGGGTGAGGGGTAGCGTGGGAAGTGTGACTGCCAGAGGCTAGGAGAGAGAGGTGCAGGGGCGGTCTGAGGGGGAGACCAAGGCAGAGAGGGGCGCAGCTTTGTCTTAGGAAGCGGGAGACCCGGGTAGGTTCATTAGTGGTTGGGGGGGGCGGGAATGGTAGGGTCGGGGCCAGGCGGAGCGGGTGGAGGATCCCCGATCAGGAGCTATGCTGGGAAGATGACTGGGGACCCCAGTCCCCGCACAGGGAGTAGGAGGGAGCAGGAATGTCAGGGGAGCCTAGAGGGGGCAGGCAGGCAGCTCCACTTTTCCCTACAGAGCAGGGGGACAGTGACATCGATCGAGGTCTCTGGACCAATAAGCACAGACCCTGTGCTTCTGTCGCCAACCTCCTTCCTGTAGCCTTAGAGGGACATGACCCCGTATCCCTTGATGGGCCTGGGGCTTCTGTGGGGACTGGCATCATGCCGTGCCCCTTGGGGGGAGCACAGTCCTGTTCCCGTCGGTACAGCGGGTGCTGGCCGAGCACCCGCCGTGTCAGCCGTGGGTGCCGGAGCAGCAGGCATTACGGTTGCTGTTTCCAGGGCCCTTGCTTCTGTGGCCGGTGGCCCCGGGCTGCCCTTGGGCGAGTGCTGCGGCCGCTCCCACCAGCCTCCCTTCTGCCCAGGACACGGTGGTTCCTGGCAGAGCACCAAAGAGCACACAGCCTTCCTGTGCCAGGGTCAGCTCTGCCTCGTGGGAGGGTGAGCCAGGCTCCGGCAGCTGGTGGCAGGCTGAGGCCGCCACACCTTGGACCGGATGGGTGGATCGGATGCCTGCGCTCCTGCCCAGGTACCCCGCTTTCAGTTTTCTCCTGTCCTCTCCTACCTGGGGGCTCAGTCCGTCGTGCGGGGGAGCTGCTGGGAGAAGGCCCCGCGTTGTCCCGAGGCAGCGGCCAGCCCAAGAACCACGCCCCTGGGGTGTCTGGGGGCTGCCAGCCACCCTCTTGGCCTGGCTCAGCAAGGGGAGGGGTTGCGCTGATGAGGCCCCGGGTTGGGTATCTTAGAGCAAAGCCCGAAGACCAGCCAGTGTGACAGGCAGAAAATCAGCAAGTGTGGGGAGAGAGACACCGCAGGGCACGGCTCTCTGGGTCAAAGAAGGGCTAGCTGCCTTGTTGCTCCGGACCGGTCAGTGCCAGGCACCTCTGATGGTGGCAGCGGCCTCCCTCGGGGGTGGCCAACGGGGCGGCTGAGTGTTGGTCTTTCAGCTATGGGGGCATACATGCTGTGTCGTGTTTCTGTCTCGGCTGCATGTTAGAGTCACAAGGGAGGCAGGGGTTTTCGGTCTGCCTTGTTTCGTCCTTAGCCAGGCCTGGGCTCTGCCCTTAACCCCTTAAATAAGAACCTTGGAGAGTGGAGCCTGGATGTCTGGACATTTTTAAACTTTTCAGATGATCCCCTGCCTTGTGCAATCCGTGTTGTGACCTACAGTCACCAAGGGAGATGAAATCGGATGGCACGAACCCTGGGCCCATGGGGAAGTGTGAGAGCTGGGAGGGCCCTGGTCTCAGCCTAGCAGTGGGGTGTCCCCAGGCCCCCACCCCGGGAGCCGGTTAGGGTCAGACCCTCGCACGCCCACTAAGTCTGAGCATGTGCGTCAGAGTTTGAGGAACCTGCGGTTGCTGCCCTCCCTCCGCCCGGGCTGCTCAGCCTTGGAGTCGCCTCGGGCACTGGAACGAACTCCAGATCCAGGCCAGACCCGTGGTCAGGACCCCTGGGTTTGGGGCCAGCAGGGCCCGGGGCAGTTCTCCCACCGAGAGGAGCCCATCCCTCTGTCTTGACCAGCGCTTCTTGTGCTTCAAACGTGCATTTGAATCGTTCAGGTCGTATTCAAATGCATACGACCTGAATACGTAGCATTTCAGACCCGTGGTCAGAACCTGAATACAACGTGAATGATTCAAATGCAGAGTCTGATTTTGTGGGTCTGGAGGGGGCCTGCGATGATGAGAGTCTACGGAAGCTCCCCAGGGGGGCCCACGCTGCTGCTCAGATGCACTGTGACCTGCAAGCGTCCAGGGCCAACGTCCCAGTTTCACAGCCAAAGAAACTGAGGGTCACAGAGGGAGAAGTGACTCCGCCAAAGGAGCCCAACATGCTCTTCATTCTCTCCTGTCCGAGGGTGGGCTGTGTCCCAGGCAGCTGCTAGGGGCTGGGGCTGGCGGTGGGGGTGGGGGAGACAAGCAGGCCTGCTTCCTGCCCGCACGAGGCTTACCCTCCACTGGGGGAATCGGAAAGCAAACAAGTGAGTCACTGAGCGACTTGCAGATCAGGACTGCTGTGCAGGCGGCAGGGAGGCCATGGCTGTGGGCAGGTAGGGGAGTCACGTACTTTTCCGAGCAATCAGGGAAGTTACTAGAACCATGACTTTCCTTGAGGTCTTCTGATGGCAAATCTGGAACTTGACTGCACAAGGCCGACCTCCGTGCCCACTGGGGTTAGAGGGTGGGGGTCCCCAACCCTCCTGAGGACACCTGGCTCTCGTCCCCACACGGCCCTCTCCTCCCGCTCTAGGCTCATTCTTCAGGGCTCAGGGACTCCACGTGGAGCCCGGCGAATGCCCCCAGGAGCGGGGTGCAACTTTGTGGTAGGATGGTGCTCAGGATCATTGATTTATGATTTATAACAAGAGCCAGGCCTTGGCCAGCCACTGTCCCCGCCCTTGAGAAACAGGGAGAGCTTTCACCTGTCCTAGAGCATGCAGACGCGAGTGCTTCCGTCTCTTTCCTGATCCTTGGACACCAGGGCTGCTGTGGAAGTGCCCGCCCCAAGCCCATGGGCTGGCTGACTCAGCCCCAGCGAAGGGCTTGGGAATCTGGGTTTCTGGTAAATAGCCCGGTGATTCGAGTGACCCAGATCACTGGGGAACCCGGCACAGAGAGAGGAGACTGGCGCTGGGCAGCGCTGTGTGCCTCTGCGTGGCTGTGGGTGCTGCAGAAACATGCCCCCTGCCAACTCCAAAGTGTGGCTCTGGCTGAGTTTTGTGATTTAGGGCCTTCTCTGTTATTGTGCGTGTAGAAGCTCCCTGCTCCCATAGTCTGTCTTCCCACGCTGGCCTTTGCCCTTCCCTGGAAGGGCCTCCTACTTCCTCTTTGATCAAAGAGACCCCTGTGCTCCAAGCACCCCCCATCCAAACATCCTGTCTTCTCCGCTGCCCCGCGCGCCTGGGCGGCGAGGGCTCGGGCACTGCCCGCATTCAGCCACAGTCCAGAGGGCTGGAGGGGGCCTCGCGGACCGTCTCGGAGCTGTGCCCTCACCTCGTTGTCTGGCCAGAGCAGACCTGTTTGGCTGGAGCAGTGAGGAACGGATGATGGGGAGGTGGGTGGTGGCCAGGACCAAGGTGAGGCCTTGGGTGGTGGCGGGTAAACTTTAGTTGCATAAAATATGAATCACATCCATATACAGTTAGCTTGACTTTATTGTGAAGACATAGGTGGAGGTGCCCATTTCCTTCCCAGATCTGGCCCTTCCCTGGTTAAAGTGAGCAAGGGGACAGCGAGGGGAGCCACTCCAGAGAAGCTGGAGCCAGCCAGCCTGGTGTGGAACCTGATCCTTGAGGGGTGGTCTTGGTTTCCCTTCCTGTCCCCGAGGACGCATGGAACCCGTGACGCTGCCCTGGAGGGGCTGGGGACTGTGCAGGGTGAGAAGGGCCTGCTCTGGCCGGCCGCCCCAAGGCGGCTTTGGCAGAAGAAGGAAGTAGAAGGAGGCGGCGTGTGGGTGCATCCCACTCCGGTATCTGAAAGGAATGCTTGTGGAGCTGACCAGACACCTGTGACTCCTGCCTCCTAGGTGGCCCGAGGCAGCCGGGATGCCAGCTCTCCCCCGGAACCCTGCTTCCTGCTGAGAAACATGATCAACAAATCCCGTGAGTGTTGCCCAAGGGCCCCCGCGCTGAAAGACACGCCCCCAGAAGCAGTCTTCATTATCGTCCTGGGGCCTGGGGCGGTTGTGGAGGGACAGGCAGGGAGCTAGGGTCCTCCCCTTTATTTCGAAGTGCACTGGAAACGCTCGGGCCCCAGCCCTTCTCTGCCAAGCAAGGGTCAGGCCAGGGCCAGGGACTGGGTCCGCTTGAGCTGGGGGTGGTAGGGCCCCACATGGGGCAGGTGAGAAGGTGGACTAGGACTGTACCTGCCTCTTTCTGCCTCCAGCTCCTCTGTGCATGTGCCCTGCAGGCTGGAAGCTGCTGGCCATGTTGGCATTGGTCCTGGTCATCATGGTGTGGTACTCCATCTCCCGAGAGGACAGGTACGTTGAGCTGCGAGTCCAGCTTCCATGTCCTCAGACTCGGGAGGGAGCGTCACAGGGTGGGGACAGAGTGGGGCAAGGGGGTTCAGAGAACCCAAGGATGACCTGTCCCTTTAACTGTTCGCATGAGACTCTTCCGGGAGGGCAGGCGGTGGGTTTGGGGAGCGAGGCGTGGGAGGATGCCCCCAGGCCCTTGGTGGGCCGTTCAGGAGAAGGAAGAGTGGCCTCCCCGATGGTTTGGTTTCAAAATGGACCTGGGGTCGCAGTGGCCCTCCCCCTCCCGCACATCACGCTCCAGCACGCGGGACCGAGGTGCCGTGGGGGAAGGGGCAGGCTGGGCCCGGGGCTGAGCGGGCCGACTGTAGCTCCTGCCTCTGCTCCTTTTCCGTCCCCAGTTTCTATATTCCCATCCCAGACAAGGAGGAGCCCTGCCTGCAGGGGGAGGCAGAGAAGAAGGCCGCCAAGCTCTTTGGCAAGTAAGTGCTTGGGCCGAGGGGGTAGGCAGGGCCTGGGGTGCGCTGGGGTTGAGAGTGTCGCGGGCTGGGGGGCCTCCTGCTCGCTGGATGGGGAGCTGTTGGTGGACCTCGGCCAGGGGAAGTCAGCGAAGGAGGGCATGGCCCCTGGGCATGCACCCAGGATATTAGTCAGAGCCTGATCCTGATCCTGACACTATCCCTTTCGTATCCCCACCCTGCTCTCCTCGCGGTGCAGCCGCTCCCGAGATCAGCCTGTCTTCCTGCAGCTTAAGGATTACTTCTGGGTCAAGACGCCCTCTGTCTACGAGCTGCCCTACGGGACCAAGGGGAGTGGTAAGCACTGCCTGGCGGTGTGGAAACGGCGGTCAGGGAACTCGGCTGCACGCTTCCCTTTGGCCGTCCACGGTCCCGGCCTGCTGGTCGTCAGCCGGGCCGACTCGCCCGGGGCCAGGGGCAGGGAAGGCCGGCGGAGCTCCGAGGCGTGGCGGCAGGGGGAGGAGTGGCAGCCTCAGACGCTGGCTCTCGCCCTCAGCCCCTTCCGATTATCGGTTCTCTTTGTAGAAGACGTGCTGCTCCGGGTTCTGGCCATCACCAGCTCCTCCATCCCCGAGAGCATCCTGAGGTACGGGAACTGTCCTCTTGCTCCAGCCCCAGTGCCTTCCCCTTTCTGCACCCGTGAGAAACAGTCAGGGCCCGGCACCCGCTACCCGAGCCCTCCTGTCGCTGGTCCCCCGTGGCCAATTTGGCCCGTCTCCCTAGCCTGTCTGTCTCCAGGGGAGGCAGATACGTCAGTCCCCACGGTAACTGAGCCTGGGCATCCGGCTGCCGGGGCAGCAGAGGCTGCTGAGGGTGTTGTCGGGGTAACTGGCAGGCCTGGGCAGCCGGCAAGGGGCTCTGCAGTGGGGCTTCTGATTGGTCCTCCTCAGTCGCCTCCCCTCTCCTCCCTGCTCTGCTCAGTTTCCTCCCCGTGACAGAAGCCCAGGGCTGCAGAGTCAGCAGGACCATGAGCAGGACTCCTTGGAGATGCCCGGTCCCCGGGGACCAAGGACACAGGGGGCCTGGGGAGGGGATTCTGAGCCAGGCCAGGGGCAGACCCAGGGCAGGGGCAGCAGTTGCTTCTGCACCTGAGCGCCCTCCCGCTCTGGCAGCCTCCAGTGCCGCCGCTGCGTGGTGGTGGGCAATGGGCACCGACTGCGCAACAGCTCGCTGGGCGAAGCCATCGACAAGTACGACATGGTCATCAGGTCTGTATGACCATCGCCGCCCTCTGCTGCTCAGGGACGACTGTGGACGGGCCCTGGGGGGCCCTAGCTGACGGCTCCTCCCCCTGCCTCCCAGGCTGAACAACGCCCCGGTGGCCGGCTACGAGGGCGACGTGGGCTCCAAGACCACCATGCGCCTCTTCTACCCGGAATCCGCCCACTTCAACCCCAAGGTGGAGAACAACCCCGACACGCTCCTTGTCCTGGTAGCCTTCAAGGCAATGGACTTCCACTGGATTGAGAGCATCCTGAGCGATAAGAAGCGGGTGCGTGGGGACCTGGGGGTGGGTGGAGGCCCGGCGTGGGGACCCTGCCCGAGGCAGGCCCTCCCGTGCCGCGACGTCCGCTCTGCCGTCCTAGAGCTGATGAGGGGAGACGTGAACCCAGTCTCCAGCAGGGCCTCTGATGAGCCGCCGGGCAGCCAGGGCCCGGGGTCGGCAGGAGACGGGCAGCAGCAAAGGGCGTCCCACGCTCCAGGCCGCCTGGGGCAGCAAAGCTGCCAAATTGCATTTGCCAGGGAGAAAGCCGGGAGCGGGGGAGCCGCTCAGCAGTCATCTTTAGGCGGGGGCAGGTCAGGACACGAGATCTGGGTCCTTTCCAGGCGGTCCCCAGAAAGTCCACTGTGTCTCTGTCAAACACTACACCATCCAGTCTGGGGTTTTTTGCCAAATGTTTACACAACTCTGAACTCCAGGCGGATTCTTAGAAGTGGGATGGCTAGACCTCGTCCTGTACTCAGTGGGCCTCCTGGCCCCTCTGGGCCGGGGCGGAGGAGCACCCTCCTCCCTCTCCCTGTTCCGCTGCCCTGGTCCCCCCTCCTATCTCTGGTGCAGCCTGCCCCTCTCGCCCTGAGGGTCTCAGCCATCATGTGGACCCCACTCCCTGACTGAGGACTGCCTGGCTGGGCCTGAGAAACACTCCACCTCCTCTTCCTCCCAACCTTACTGCCCCAGGTGCGAAAGGGCTTCTGGAAACAGCCTCCCCTCATCTGGGACGTCAACCCCAAGCAGATTCGGATTCTGAACCCATTCTTCATGGAGATTGCGGCTGACAAGCTGCTGAGCCTGCCCATGCCACAGCCGCGCAAGGTTAAGCAGGTGCTAGTATGACGGGCAGCCAGAGGGTCAGGGTCACGGGTGGGACGTGGGTGGGACGGTGCGAGAGATTTAGGAAGCGGGAGAGGCCCCTGCAAGGCGGGTGAGTCATCACAGCTCCCATCGGAACAGCACCTGGGGAAGCGGGGACCTTCCGGCACACACCTGTAATCCGGTTTATTAGCTTGCCTGGCCTGGGGTGGGAGAGGAGAGCGCAGACTTCAGAACCGCGGGCCATCTGCAAAGTGGGGCATTATGGGAGGGTTATTCCTAGGGCTTGGAGCTGGAGTCAGAGGAAGTTTGGACAGGCACCTGTCAAAACTCATAAACTGGGGTGTTGCTGGGACAGTTGCAGTCTTATTTGTAGGAGAACCCAAGCCTGTGCAGCTGCTATTAGGCCACTTTATCAGAGATCTTCAAAGGGGTCTGCGCGGGCGAGGAGCTTACACTTTGTCTTGTTTATCACAGCTCCTTTCTGGAGTCAGGATGTAGTTTTGCGAGTTACGGTTTTTGTTTTAGCTCTTGGTGCCCGTGGTGGTCCTCGGCCGGTGGGCGTTGGCTTGTAGCTTCCTGGTATGTCCTCACGGGCCTCTTGAGCCTCCGAGAGTCTGTGCGGGCAAGTGGATGGAGGTAACCAGCAGGAATAGACGGGACTCATGTGGTCTTGGGCAAGTCCCTCTCTCGGAGCCTCTGTTTTCTTATCTCTGTGGTGAGGGTATGACCTTTGAAGGCCACGGCAGGATTTAAAAAGATAATTTATGTAACAGGTCTGTCAGGAGACTGGCACATAGGGGAGGCCAAATTTGAATAAATGGTCTTATCCTTTACTGAGCACCGACTGGGATTCAGCTTCAAGAGCCGAATGCCTGCTGCTGTGGTTGTTCGAGTGGGGCCGGCCACAGGCGGTCTAGCTCCTCGCTTGGAGGCCCCTCGGACCAGCGGAATAAACACATAGGGCACAGCTCGGAGTCACGAAACGCCCAGCCAGGAGTTGTTCCAAGGGCTGAGGGATCTCGGAGAGGGCAGGCCTCTGCTTGGGGCTGTTTTGGAGGCCCCGCCCCCAGAAGAGGTGGTGCTGGGGCTGGGCCTTCAGGGTCCTGGGGCCCATCAGGCAGAGACTGGGGAAAGGTATGTCAATACCACACACTCCCCCAGCACTGAGATCTGCAGGTGGGGTGGCGGGGGCCGCCTGGAGGCGGCCTACGCCCCTGAAGGCTGGAGAGGGAGGCAAGAGAGAGGAAGGACCAGAACCCAGCTCCTGCAGAGGGAAGAGGAACGGAAGGGATGGACCTGGCCTGTGTTCGTTTCCTGTCATTGCCTAGCAAATCGCCACAGTTCAGTGGCTTAAAACAACACTCATGTATCCGCTCCCAGTTCTGCGGGTCAGAAGTCCAGCACAGGGTGGCTGGGTTCCCTGCTTAGGGTTGGTATTTGGGTTCCCCCGCTATCCGAGAGCTGCGTGTTCCCATGAAACATTTCGTAATCTAAAATGGTGGAAAGCGAAGAAGCAATTACCATTGATATCTATGTCTTTATTTCTTTCACCACAATTGCAACGTTTAATTACATCCAGTTTTATGCTAAGCATAGCACCCTTTTGAGGTCTCCTGGGCTTTTCTGATATGTCAGGACACATCTTGCTGACGGATGCACAAAATAAGCCTAGAGTAAGCGCAGATGCTCAGCCCCAGTTCAAAGCTCTGGCAGCGGGAGGCTGGGTGTGGTTTCTAGTGGAAGGAGCCTGGCGGGGCCGCGCTCGCTCTCGCTGCAAAACAAATGCTGAAGGCTCTGTGCGCTTTTCCTCTTTTTTCATAAAAGCAAAAATCCTCTTCGGATTTCTTTTGGTGAGCGAACACAGGTACTTTGGTAGGTCTTTTGTGAAAAGCGGAGTGGTGTAACACGAACTTTCGAAAGGTGGAGAATACTGTACAAGGCTGGAATCAGGGAGGCAGCTGGGCTGAGTTCTTGTCTGCAGGCTGGGGAGTGGGGGAGGGTGGGGGGCGCTGATTCATCTCCAAGCTCATTCTTGTGGGAACAATCCAGTTCCTTGTGGTTGCAGGAGCCAGGTCCCATTTTCTGCTGGCTTCCAGCCAGGGTGGGGGGAGCTCCCTCCGCTCCCTGCCACGTGTTGCCCTTCTGCTTTCAGACAACCCCAGCATGATACATCCATCGTGCTTCCTACCTTTGACTCCCTCCGCCGCTCAGCTCTAGACCCAGATAGATAAACTCATGAAATTAGGTCAAACTCACCAGGATTACCGCTGTCATGGCCAACTGTGCCGTCTACAAAGAAATATAACGTGATGCAATATAGCTCATCATAGCTGCGGTTTCCACACACACGCAAGGGTGATGGTCTTTGGGAGTCGTCTTAGAATTCTCCTGCTGCAACGTGTACTTTTCGGGTGGAATGGAGAGCTATATGACAGTGCTAGGCTCCCAGCTTGGACAGCGGGGTGGGCAGGAACAGGTTTAATCTAGGGAGAACAGGGGCGAGAAGAGCGGGGGAGTTTAAGGAGCCTGCGGCCAGGCGGAACTGGCTGGCAGGCCGTGGCCATGTGGTTCGGCGAAGGTCTGCCCAGGGTGAGGTAACGCAGTGGTCATGAAAGCAACGGGGCAACACGAGAGGAGGGCCTGGGCAGGAAGTGACAGGCAGAACGATAGCAGGGCTCAGAAGCAGACGCCGGAGAAACCCCAGGCTCAGGAGGCCTGACCAGCTGAAGAGCCTGGGAGGCGGACGCTGAGGGAGGCGAGGTGGGGCGTGAGGACCCCAGGCCGTCCGTCCTGGGGGATGAACTGGGGAGGGAGAGGGGGCAGTGGGTCCCTAGAGCAGCCCATAGAGCAGATGTGAAAGGCTTGCCGTCCCCTCTTGACGGAGGGGAGAGCCCACCTCACAAAGGGCCCAGCCTGTGAATGCGGGGGCCCCGTATCTGAAAGGGGCGAGGTTCTCCAAGACTCAGAGCAGAGCCTTTCCACTCCTTAGGGAGTTGCCGAACGGTGGTAAGCCTCAGTTTCCCCATTTGTACTATGCCGTGTGGCAGCCACGAGCCATGTATGGCTATTTAAATTTTAATTAAATAAAATTTAAAACTCAGTCCCGCAGCTACCCGTGCCCCGTTTGACGGCTCAGTTGCCAGCTGTGCGGGTGGCCGCTGTACAGGACGGCCCAGGAAGCCACTTCCGGGGCCACGAAGTTCTGTCGTAGGGCGCAGGCCTAGAAGATGCTGCAAGGAGCACAGGTCCCTCTAATAACCCCTCCCCTACCCCTCGCTCCTCAGAAGCCCACCACAGGCCTGCTGGCCATCACCCTGGCCCTCCACCTCTGCGACGTGGTGCACATTGCTGGCTTTGGCTACCCAGACCCCCACAACAGGAAGCAGACCATTCACTACTATGAGCAGATCACGCTCAAATCTATGGCGGTAAGGGGCCTCTGCCTGCAAGCTGTGCAGGACGGACCAGCCTGGGACACGGGGGGTTGGGGGGCGGGGGGGTGAGTGGTGCCAGGGGCCCAGAGAGGGCTCGTGGGGAGGTCACTCATAGAGTCAGAAGTGGCGCCGAGGCCTCTGGACTCCCAGGCCAGTGTCCTCTGTGTTCGGCCACACACACTGTCTCCTTTCTGAGAGGCAGCACAGGGCAGGGAGTCCCCAGAGCGTGGCGCAGTGGGGAGGGCCGAGGAGCCTGTCCTGGGCGGGGGACGCCCCTAGGAGTCCCTCAGTTGGCTTCCTTGGCTGTCTCCACAGGGGTCAGGCCACAACGTCTCCCAAGAGGCCCTGGCCATCAAACGGATGCTGGAAATCGGAGCCGTCAAGAACCTCACTTACTTCTGACGTGGGCAGGAGCTGGACCCGTCGTCAGTCTGCCCACTCCGCTGCCGGAGCGACCCCCAGCCGTGGCGGTGGGGGTGCCGGGTGCCCGCGGGACCAGCCTGGTCTCCCCCTCGCCCGCGTGGGGAGGGGTCCCGGGGCTGGCCAGGTCTGAGGAGGGACCGTGCCCCGGCTGCTCTCATGGAAGGCAGATCTAGCCCGGGGGGGAGGCCCTGGGGCGGTGGGAGCCCGGCAAAGGAACGAGGCTTGTTGCTGTGATGTTTCCTGTCTGTCGGTGCTGGGAGATTATTTAATGGGCTATTTAATTAAGGGGAAGAAAGTGCTGTGGGCTGGTCCCATGGCATCAGAAAAGGGGGCATATACAGTATTCGGACCACTTTTTATAAAAACATGAAAGCGATGGGCCCACTCAGGCCTAGCCCTGAGCCGACCTCCCAGGAGTGGGGTCACCTGGCGCGCGTGGGAGCCTGTCCCAGCGGGCTTGGGAAGGGCAGTGGTAGGCGTGTCCCGTGCAGAAGGGAACCTCATCTGGAGAAGAGGTACCAAACAAATTAAACTATTTTCCTAAAACAGAAGCAGTTGTGATAACGTATCTTTTCAGACTGGGGGGCGGGGGGTGGCGCATGGGACCCGGTAGGGGACAGGCTTGTTAAAGACCCAGTGGGACCCCAGAGCAGGTCACAGTCATTGAGAAAGTTTATTTTTGAGCATGGTGCTTGGTGCCAGGTCACACATGGTCACCCCAGTATGGCAGACAGGCAAGTGGGGCCCAGAGCAGCCCCCTCTGCCGGACACCCCGCCTGGCATCCTGCACCCTCCTTTACTCCTCAGGGGTGGGGCGGGGCGGGAGGAGGCCAGATCGGAGGGGCAGGAACCCCCCCCCCTCCGCCTTCCTCTCCCTACCAGCTCACAGCCTCCAAAATCTCATGCTGGGAGGTGTCTGTGTGAGGACACGGGTGGAGTCAGACAAAGGAAGCCAAGTTTTCCTTCGCAGATTAAGTGGGAATCATAAAAATGGAGTTTACAGAAGGTCCTGCCAATGGCCCGGGCTGCCATGGGCTTGGGCAACAGATAAGGGACTTGGCAAGGCCTGTCCACCAGTTGCCAGGCCGGGGGGAGAAATGCTTTTTTCTTTCCCCCAGGCCTCTAGAACTGGGATAGCCCTGCCATTTGCCTGTCTCTCCCCTCTCTGTTCTGCATCTTCCCAGGCCCTGCTCCACTGCCAACTGGGCTCACTGCCACCCCACAGCTGCCTCTTTACATCTGCAGCCAGGAGGGAGAGCTGGAGCTCCCCGCGGGGAATGGGACTCACAGCTGTGTTCCTGGCTTTCTCAGAAAGAGTTGCAGCCTTGAGGTTTTGAGGCTGGGCTGGGACAGGGCAGATAGTAAAGGGCAGGGGCGTGGGGGGGGGGGCGGGTGCAGAGGAAAATGACACACTTCTTGTCAGTGTAGAGTGGCCTTGAGAACACCCACCGTCCTCCCATTGGAGGAGGGAATGGAGCGGCCTGGGCTTGGAAGCCTGGCGGACTCAAAGGGCTGAGGGGGACTCTGCAAGCAAGTAGGGCTCAGCATCTGCGGTCCTCCAGGGCTTTTGCAAGGCAGGGGAGCAAGGCGTGCGCATGGGGACAGGGATCTCAGTTCTGCTTCTCCCCGAGGCTTCCCCAGCTGCTTCCAATTGAGGGTGTGCAGGGAGTGTCCGTTTCGCCATCCAGCGCCATTGAAAGTGGCTGTCAGCACATAGGATCCAGCTGTCCTAGATTGGGGTCACTGCCTGTTACTGAACAAGCCTAAACGTGAGCCAGAACCCAGTACACGGATGGGTCAGGCTCCACACACACGCGCACGTGGACACCAGCATGTTACACTCTTGTTGGGCTAGGCCTGTGATGCCATACGCAGACAGTCCTTCCTGATCGCAGACAGACGGGGCTGTGTGTGGGGACGGGGTATACGCACCCCAGCTGTCCACTGTTCCCCTGGGGCGTGGGCTCGCTTTCTCCAGTGCAGCCTGAGGCAACACTGGCCAAGAGTCAGGGTTGCCAGGGGAGCTTTGATGCGGAGTGGCTGGGCGGGGTTCCCGGGTGCACTGAGACAGGGCACTGAGAAAGGGATTTTCACTCTTCCGTTAACCCCGGCGATGCGAATGAACTGCCTGCCCGCCGGGCTGGTGCTGATTAACTCGTGCCCTGAACATGGGGCGGGAAGGGGAACCGGGACCGGGAGGGGAAAGCAGTGGTAGTGCAAGTCCACGGGTTCTACACCAGGCTCTGCCTCTCAATCATGGAGGACCAATCGTTTCTCCCCATCCAAGAGGCTGGGTCCAGCCAATGAGCACCTCTTAGATCAGTAGTTTCTGGGCGGGGGTAGGGAGCGGGGTGGGGGGGTGCTTAAGGACGCAGATTCTTGGGTCGCACCCAGGCCGCTGGGGCGCAGGAATCTGGAATTTTAACGAGCACTCAGAACCACCGCTCTAGCAGTCTAGACTCCAGGATGACCTCATGCGCCTCTCAAATCCACCGTCTGGGTGCAAAGCCCATCCTAATCCCCCGCATCCTGGAGCTGCGTTGAGCAGGCGCACGCGCAGGAGGAGCCACCGGCAAAGCTGGTCCCGCCCCCGGCGCGGAGGGGCGGTGAGGCGCGCTGGCGGCTCTTGGAGGGCGGGGCCGGCCTGGTGGCCGTGGGAACCTGGCAGGCACCATCACCGCTGAGCGAGGCCTCTGGGGCTTGGCTCTGGCCCCGGCGCCCGCCTGGCCTCGGCCCCGCCTCATCCGGCTCTGTGAGCCCTGTCCCACTCCGCAGAGGCCTGGGGAAGGGGACCCCCCAGCCCAACCACAGAGGCTAGGCAAGGAGGAGGTCAGGCTTGGATCTAGCCCACGTATGAACATCAAATGGTGTGCCTTAATTTTGGACACTTCGGGTTTTTATTTACACTTTCTAAGGACAAGAGCACATCTGCCCAGAACGAATAGTCTACGGAAAGTGTGAGCTGGGAGCAGTCCTGTCTATGAGGCGGGAAAAGCGGAGCGCACGCAACGTACTGCAGACGTCCGGCTGGGTGGCGGGCCCCACTCCCTGCTGCCCTGCCATTGGCCCCGTGAAGCGCTGCCCTCGGTCTGTAAAGCAGGGATTGCGCATGCCCCCCTCACCATGAGGTTTTTAAGTATCTAATGGGTACATTGTGTAGACCGTGAAGCATGATGCAGATAGTAGATTGGAAAGCGGCTTTCCATAATGGAAAACACCAGAAAGCGAAGAAACAGGCGAGGTACAGCTGGAGGGTCAAATATTTGCCCAGGTACATGATAGCGTCTGGTTTAAAGAAAAGCCTTTGTCTCTGAGTCACCTGCGAGCAAAGTAAGGGTGAGACATCAGCGAAATAACTCGAATACAGGCTTTGCATAATCAGACAATGAGCAGGGAGTTCAAACTGCTCTCTGGCAGTGATTGTCCTGTAGAAGTCAGGCCCCTTTGGGGTTTTTTGGAGAAAGTGGTTTCTTGGGAGACATGATCCATTTATTTCGATGGCATACATTAACACAGCATACCTCAGTCGGTTCCTAAACTAAGGCTGATAAGTGCAATCTCAGTGGGTTAAATCTCTAAACCCTGACTTTTTGGATGGCTTAATTATAGCTTCAGAAAACTGTTTGTTGGTTTTGAACATTCCCATGGTTCTGTACCAGACATGGTCCTAGGAAAAATTTTCCAACTTAAAAGTTAAGGAGGGATGTGTGTGTGTGTTTTCCTTTCCAGTTCTTTCTCAACAAGGTTACCTCTCTTGTTAGACAGGAGGTCTTGAGGATCCCACACCCAAGAACCGAGGCTGGACGATGAATCTTGAGTCTCGTTGGATGCCCGGTTTGGGGGGAACCCCAATGTATGGGGAGGTTCCCTTCTCCATGTAAGGGGATGGCAGAGAGCTGGAATCAGTCCTGTCTGGGAGGGTTAGCACAGAGGATGTGATGAAAGTTCCTAGGGAAAAGTCAACCTGGGAAGGCAGATTTCGGGGTCCCAGGAAAAACTCGCATTTTCAACTACACCCACCCCTCAAGGGAGGCACCGCTTCCTCTCCGGAGTCTCACGAGACTGGGAGGGTGCGCTTGGGTGGAGGGATGCGAGAAGGCTCAGATGCTGGCACCGCCAAGGTGGTTGACGTTGGAATTACTGAACTAAGCTCTTCCAGAACTATCTATTAGTCTGAGACTCCCTAAAACACTATTTACCTACATCACCCACTTTAACACTTAAGGAGTATCTTCTCCTGCTTAAAAATGTGTTTCTTTTTTGAGGGGAAAAAAAAAAATCACCAGAGTGGAAATTAGAGTCCGGGAGGGCGACTCTCTCTGGTTCTGTTCTCTTTCTTTGCAGATTTATTTACGTCCCACTGGTGCAGGCTTGTGTGGCAGGAGAGCTAGAGAAACTTCAAACTAAAAGTCAAATAGGGGGTTCTTATTGAAACATCCTCCTGTAGAAGCCCTAGAACCTTAGCCACGTCACTTTATCTCCATCACCCCTTCTCTTCCGTGTTTCTTCCAAGTGCAGTGGTTGTCAGTGTCGTACATACTTTTCCTAGTTCTTGGGCATAGAGACCCTGGACCTTTTAATTTTCTTACAAAGCAGGCTAAGGTGGTATCTTGACTGTAGCCCACCTGAGCTTGTCTTGCGGGGGTGACCTTCGGGGGAAGGCTCCCTGGGTTCAGTTTCTATCCTGGGCACCACTTTTCCTCTTGCATCATTGGGAACAGATGCCAGAGAAGCTCCGCTCATGAAGACCCCAACTCTCCCCTTGGCCGTTTCCCGAGGCTCCACTTACCCTGTCTTTGAATCTTAGGAGCATTCTTGGAATGTTCTCATGATGTTTCAAGACATTTCCAAGGGCCATGAGGTGAAGCAGCAGCGGAAGGAGGTGTATGTCTTTGCATGGCCGATCTCCCTGATCAGGGGGCTCAAGGGGCACTTTGAGGCTGAACATTGGCTGAAGGAGGTCTTGGCTCGGTGGGCGGGCTCAGTGGACCGTTCCCGGGGGGAGATGTGGGACCATGGCGTGGCAAGGGGACGGATATCCGCACCAGGGATGCAACCCACAGTCAACGGGAATGGCGTGTGTTCACAAAAGGCCTGTTAAAGACGGCACTAGGGCAGGAGTAAGGAAAACTGCAGGGCCCGTAGTAATGAAAGGCCTCCGTGGGTGACAGAGACCTGGCCACGAGAGGGCAGGGCAGAGGGCACCGCGGAGAACCGCAGTTAGGGAAAAGGACCGATGATCGGCTCCTGACGGCAACAGTGCATTCGCCTGGGAAAACGAAACCTTTAGGAAGAGGGGTAGCTTGAAATTTCCTCATTTTTGCCAGTTAGTGACCTAGTTAGAAGGATTGAAACCTACGGAGTTAGCAAAAATGTTTGGAGCCTCACTGGAAACAGGAAGCAAAGGTCAGGCTGAGAGCCCTTATCAGCTATTTGATTTATCAAAGGCTGCTGGTAGTTTAGCTGCTTATTCTGCAAATGGCTGGTGTGGGGTCACACCTGAAAACAACTTAGATAAGAGGCTTCTAAAAGACTTTTGTTTTTAAAGGAGGAAGTAAAATGTAAGATTTAGTTGTGATGTCATTGGTTTGTGTCTAAGTGGTTAGGTTTCTTTAGATAGGATCACCCAGCGGTGTTTCAGATAAAAATCTATATGCAAATCAAGATAGCTTTTATTTAAATATTTATACTTTTATTTGAATAAAGAGTTTCTTTTAGGAGAAGCAGCTCATTGCAGGACTGCCTCCGTCTTTTCTTTCCCTCCTGCTGTCCTGAACCACACACGACACCTGGGAAGAGCTCGTGGAATTTGGGGCGTGCACCTTGAGATTTCAGTTCCGCTTCCTCCGTAGCAAACACCGTACACCGAGCATACGCCTCCCCTTATGGGAAGGGAGCAATGCAGTCCCTGTTCTGAGAAATCTCCCAAGGACAGCATCATGTTTGTTTTCATTTCCTCGGGTCCTTTCCGCACCGGACGCTCAAAAGCAGCTTCAAGGCCTGTTGCTTTGGAGCACTTGTTTCAGCGGGCTCCATCAGAAACGGACTGGATGCTGTGTTCTAGCTCTTCAAGGGACTGCGCTTCCTACCCCAGGAAGGTTGATGAGGTGGTGGAAATAGCTCTGGCCTCTCCAGACTGATAACGAGCCTGAGAATTAGGAACTGGGCTCGCATCCAGGGACTCCGGGCCAACAGCAAATTTTAAAACGATCAGAAAACTGGACACTGGCCTTGGTGGCGGAGGGGGGACTTTGATACACAAATAGCTTTGTTTCCCAGGGAGCTGTGGTCTTTCCAGGTCATTCGGGGACTTGAGGTAGAGGATCCAGTCCCGCCTTCCTAATGGAGCCGTGGCCTCGCCCTGCTCAGCCTACCTCAGAGGGGGTGCTAGCGGATGGCCTTTGCCACAAGCCGTCTGCATCATATTCTAGGACGAACTTCGCCTTGGGTTGGCACTGAAGGATGGAAACATTTTACAGAGGAAGTCACGAGTGTTTCAATCTCCTGTTTGCCACTTGTTAGCTGTTAGCTCCATGACCTTGGGCAAGTCTTCAGAGTTCTCTAAGCCTCATTCCCTTGCCTGTAACTTGTAATAGTGTGTAGAATTGTGAGAATTAAGTAAGGTTATAAATGTGACTCATTTCATTTCAGTTCATTGGAAATCACCTACAGGGGAATTCGGGGCTTCCCACGGCCTTAACAAAATTTTTTTAACACCTCCCTTAACCAGCTTTTTTGCACCTTCACTCCTTTGCAAGAAGTAAAAAGTGCTGGAGACAACTGAGGGGTGCACGTAGCTCAGTCTGGGCTCCTTCCCAACGCTTCAACATTCCAGAAGCCCCAGATACTACCGATCCCCCCTTTCTCTTCTCCTCTTCCGCCAAGACCATCCTTGTGACCTCCCATCCCTTTGGCAGTCTTTGCTGCACTTGTTTGTGCACTGGGGGAGCCGAGGGGGCTGGGCACTGGATGGCTGAGTCTTGACTGCTCAGCCCTTGTCAAGACTCTCTGCTCCTCATCTACGACAGTTGCACGCTTTCTCTGGGAGCGCCCGAACCTCAGGAGGAGCTTGCGCTGCTCTTTGGGAGATGAGCTTTCTCCCTCGTGCTTCTGGTTGTCCTGAGTCAGAACCTTAGGTGTTAGGAAAGAATGGGTGCCTTTGCCCTGTTATGAAAGCCGTAGGGTGGTGGCAGTGGCGGGGGCGGGGGGTGGCTGGGGGCAAGGAAGGCTCTGGTGAGGATGAGGAGAAAGATTTCCCACCCACTTCCTGGAGAAGGCCAGGACAAATTAATGGACAAATCCTCTTAAGTCATCCTCTTTTTTATCCTAGCACCCTAAGACATTTTACATCTGGTCTTGGGAACTTGGAAGATTGGTTAGAACCTCCTCCTGAAAAGCCAAGATTGAGGGTTCAATCCCCCATCGGGGCACATACAGGAATCAACCAACGGATGCAAACATTAGTGGAACAAACTGATGTCTCTCTCTCTCTCTCTCTCTCTCTCAAGTCAATCAATAAAAAAAATAAAAAACCTCGACCTAGAATGTCCAGGAGCCGATACCCTGGCGCCTGTGCCAGGCCCGAATGGTGGCGCCTGAGTCTGAGATGGACACTTATTTCTCGTCGGTTTCTAAGCCCTTGGGCTTGGGGGCTGCCAAGGAAGGCATTTCGGGCCCTGGGGCGTTTTGAAGCAGCAGGAAACCCAGTTTTGAAGGAATAGGGTGGAAGCCAAATGCCCTTCTGCGTGGAGATGCTGTGAAGGCAATGTATAGGCTCTGGGGGTTGGGCCACCCACGAGCCAGTGTATGGAAGGAAGCACAGACTGCTGTGGCGAGGATTCCCGTGACGGGCGAGGACTACAGGGAAAGCTGAGGAAGAAGGGTCTAAAGCTTACGAGGAATGCCGGCCTTAGGGACAGCCTGAGTTCTCCGAATCTCCGTGGGAACCCTGCCCCCCGAACGAGCCCTCTGACTTGGCCCGTTTCCCCGCCCCGTCCGCGTCACTGGGTGTCACGCTTCCCACCCAAGCAAGGCCACTCTTGGAACATTATCTGAGTCTTAGAGAGTTACAGGTTGTGGTGCTATAGGTTCTTTGAAGACGGCCTCCCTCCCCGAACCCCCAAAGGAGGGAACTTCCCTTGCGGAATGTTGCCAAGAGAAAGACCTTGAAGGACCGCCCCGCCCCGCGCCCGCGATGACACTCTGCTTCTGAGATCTCTATGGCACGAGCCGGGTGGTTGGTGGGTCCTGCTTTCGCACCCCTGTGGGAGGGGCACATCCACAAGGAGTGGAGTCTGCTGGTAGGTGCCAGAGCCACCCCAACCAGAGCCATCAGCTGCCTTGATGACCTAGGCAAACGGAATCACAGGGGGCAAAGAACCTTGGGTCCCCAAAGCTCCTGGGCTCTCCCTGTAGCTCTCCAGGAACGAAAGGAAAGAACGAACTTGTTGGAGTAACAACCCTAACATTTATTCTCGGGTGGGGAGTAGGAGGGATAAGGTGTTGATATACTTTCTCTCTTGCCGGTGGAGTCTTGCTAAAGACAGGGCCGCTGTTCTTGGTGTGAATCTAGGCCCCTGGAAAGTCATCAGCTGAGAAAGCGAGTCTCATCATCCTAAAGACCTGGCCTCTAGCCCCCTCAAACCTACATCTGCCAGGAAACCCTCTCCCTGATGGCCAGAGAAGCTCTCACACTCCTTATATTAACTCTGATGTGCTGTAGAGGAGAGGGGAGTAAGCAAAGCAGGGGTGGGGGGGACGGCTCTGGGGCTCACAGCCTGGCGAGGGGGCGGGGCGTGCCGGGTCAGGTGTTCCCCCAGTGCACACACTTTCCCTCCACCCCTCCTTCCCCCTCCCAGAACACCAGTCTCTGACTGGGCCAGGCCCACCACAGAGTTCAGAGGCATCAGTCCAAGGACAGAACTGCAAGAGTATGGACACGAAACACCAAACAATTTGGGGGTTGGCTCCCAGCCGGTGTGGTGAGAGACGGTCTTGCGGCCAGGGCCATTTCTGGCTCTGAGCAACAGAGGGCGCTGGGGTCTCTGGGGCAGCTCAGTGTCAGGGGGGGCCCGTCTCTGGCTCTGAGCAGCAGAGGGCGCTGGGGTCACTCGGGCAGCTCAGTGTTGAGGAGGCGCTTCACCTCTTCTCCCTGGAGCAGCAAGGGAGCACAGGCACAGGGGCGCAGCTTATGGGCAGCCGGGGCAGAACTCATGGGGAGACTGGAGAGTGAGCGGCAGTTTCATTAAAGCAGTGTTAGAGCTGCCTCTAGTTCCTGGACGAGGGGCAGGTGGGGAGGGGCCACCAGGAAGGGGCTGGGGACCCAAGCGTCCAGCGTGGAGCGCAGTGCACTCGGCTGCATCCTCTGACACTTCCCCACCCCGCGCCTCTCCCCACTGCAGCTGGGGGCCCAGATTTGTGCTTGATCAGGGCTTCGGAGGAGGGCGGTGGCCGAGGCACTCGGGCTGTCCTGGAGGCTGCCGGTTCTGGGGCCCTCTGCAAAGTACCCATGTTGTCTGGAGAGCCAGGACGTGCCGTGGCCCCAGTCCCCTGCCTCCCTGCCGGCGGTCGGGGATTCTCAGACGTGAGTCTGCATCCGCCGCTGCAGGGGTCGGCTGGGGTCGGAGTTCTGGGAAGAGGACTGGGAGTGGTGGGAAGAGGAGGCAGAGGCCTTGCTGGCCTTGTCGAACTGCACGTAGCCGTCCTGCTTGCCGCTGCTGCTGACGCTGCTGTCACACTGCGTGTCCAGGAAGGAGCTGCTGTCGCTGAGGGAGCCCCTCTGGAACTCGCGCTCGCAGAGCTCGATGGACGAGCTGCCCATGCCCAGCACAAACCTCTGGCCGTAGTCATAGAGACGGCCCTGGCCGCTCAGGGTGCTGTAGATGTTGGTGAAGGACATGCCCGTGGGCACCCGCTGCTTGCCGGTGGGACGCAGGTCCGGCTGACAGCTGGACAGCGAGATGGTGGGGGTGGAGTGGTGCTCCTTGAAGGTGTTGACACTGTAGTAGCCATTGGTGGGGTCCTTGGGGCAGGAGACAAGAGCAAGCGCAGCGTCAGCAGGTGGGGCAGGGACTGCACTGAACTTTCCATGTGGAGCCTGTCCTACCTGACACAGGCAGGGATGAGGAGAGACAGGAGGAGGGGACAGCAGTGGAGGACTGGGTGCGGGGGCAGGCTGGAAGGGCCACCCTGGTGGGGACGCCACGAAGGGAGGGCGCCAGGTATTCAGGTGACAGCTGGGAGGGGAGGGTGCCAGAGGGAGGGAAGCCGGGGACTCCCCCTGGGTGTTTAGTTATGTCAGCACAATGCAAGGTCATTTGAGAACTGGACTGTGTTTTGTTGTTTTTGTGCAGGACACGGATACTTAGTTTTCAAGTGTATCTGTGAAAAGGCTGCGGGAGAGGAGCCCATGGGAGCTTGGCCTTAGCTCTGCTGCCTTCTTGGTGTGGGGCGAGACAGCAGGTGCGTTGGCCGGGGAGGCTCCCACCTCAGGGAGAGGATAGGCACCAGCCCCCAAAGCGACCTCTGGCCTTTCTCTTCTATTTGCTGCTGCTGTTTGTCTGGACACAGGGCTCGGGCCATCTGAGCTGAAGACCAGAACCATGCCGGGGCCTGCAGCGCGTGGCTGCGCCTACCTTCAGGTTCTGAAACTCCTTCTCCTCTTCTTTGAGGACCTCCAGCTGCTTGAGGACGGAGTCTTGTTGGAATTCACCCCGGTCCATCTGCAACCGGAGAACGGCTGCTCAGCGGGCAGGAGACGGGCGAAACGCTCACGCCTCCCAAGGAAAAGTCGGAGAGGCCAGCTTGAGAGAAGCTTGAGAGAAGCTTGCCGTCTCTACCTCCCCTCCCCGCTCTCCCACTGCCTGGCCCGCAGGAGGCAGGGAGAGCGATTAGACCCGGCTTGCTCCTGGGCCTCTGTCCTGAGAGACAGAGCGAGATGGGGAGGGGGGGTGGGTGGGTGAGAGGCAGGTCTCTGAGATCGAACTTACTTCTCTCAGGCTAGGGAACCACCCATAGAGCTCCTGCTGGGCTGATTCAATTCAACTCACCAAGCATTTACTGCAGTGGTCGCCAACATTTTTGGCACCAGGGACCGGTTTCATGGAAGACAATTTTTTCCATGGACAGGGGTTGGGGGGAGGGTAGTTTTGAGATGACGCGAGCACGTCACCCTCAAGCTCACCTCCTGCTGTGCGGCCCGGTTCCTAACAGGCCCAGACCAATACCGGTCCGCGGTCCAGAGGTTGGGGACCCCTGATTTATTGAATTTCAGGTCAGGCACCGCACTGCGCTAAGGGCCGGGCATATGCACATTAAGAGACAGCCGTTCCCAAAGGGCGATGGATCTGTAGATAAATAATTGCAGAACCTTGACCGCTGGGCACAGGGTGGGCCCTGGCAGGGCAGCGTATCATCCAGGGCCAGGCTTAATGAAGGGTTAGGAAGGAATCACAGCGAGTCGCGGTGACCCTGGGCCACACAGCAATGACTTAGAGGTCCTCAAAGTTTTCTTCTTTAACAGATACCACAGAGCTCAAGAGAAGGATCACTTCTTGTTTCTCCTTGGGTCCCCAGCACACCTGGCACAGTGCCTTGAGTATTGCAGTCATTGATCAAAATCCTTTTAGGATGGAATATTTAATTTTCTTAAAAAATTAATTTTTTGATTTCCTAGTGCCTAGTGTGCTGCCTGATCGACGAACCATAGGGCATCCACAGAAGTTGCAGTGGATGAACCAAGGGGCGTAGCTCCTAATTTCTGAGCATTAGGATGATAATTAAACTGAGGTGAAAGATGAAGCACACTCAGCACACAATGGGCCTATTCATTAACCTGAACAATCCCAGCGGGGCTGTCCCGCGGCATGTAGCGACTTCCCCTGTGCCATCTCCGCACAGGACACGATCCAGGCCAGATTCCCACCCGCTCTCTGAGCTGTGACAATTCTTGTCCCTTGCGACTCGCTCTCCTGGAGCCCCATGGAATCAGCCAAAGTACTTGCCCCCTGTTCCTCCTCACTAAGACGACTTTTGTCATTTCCCAGTAAGTGCTCTGGGTCTATCTGGGTTGCAGGTCTTTTTCACCAGCTTCAACTTCTAAGCCCGTCTCTCCTCCATGTGGGGCTGTAGGGGGCCCGGGGTCAAAGGCAGCGGGGGAATGACAGTCTTAGCCCCAGAGCCCTCAGCTGGTCCCTCTGCCAGAGTTACCCTCCCCCCAGCCCTCTCTTAACTGACTACTAAGCGACCCCCCTTTCCTGAGGGTTTGGACTGGGGGTTGTGGAGACGGACCGAGGCAACCAGAATGTGCCCGTGGGAAGGAATTCAGGGTCCCATTTGGAACAAAGGACAGGCTGGGCACAGCCACACAGACTTGTTGAAACTCATCTACACTGAGGCTCGTTCCGTTCAGTTCTAGGCTGCGGTCTCCATCCTGGGAAGATGAAGTGATCCACTGTCGCGGGCCTTAGGTTAGCCCTGGGGAAATACACTCACATAGATTTAAGAACATGGCCTTCGCCCTGAGGAATTCTGGGGTAACTGGGGAGGCTGACAAGTAATTTGAGCAATGCTCTCTCAGGGAGAAACATGCAGTGTTTGGGAAGAGTATGGAAAATTATGGAGGAGGTGGCATTTGAGCTGATTCTTATAGGAGAGCATGAAATTCAACGGACAAATTTGACAGGCAGAGGGAATCGCCTGCGCAAAGCCTCTGAGGCCTAGAAGCCCTGAAGGCCAGGAATTGCAGTCTTTGGGGCATCTGCAGGGCCCCAGGCATTTGGCGGGAAAGTGAAGCTGGAAGGGCAGTGGGTGCCTCGTGGTGAAGAGCCAGCTGACATGCGTGGCCGTGGACTTTATCCAGCAGGCATGGGGGGCTACCGGGGAATATGTGTAGTCATAGGGTCAGATCTGTGTTTTAGAAGTGAGGCCGGAGAGTAAGAAGCTAGGAAAATTCCTGGGCCAGTGGAATGTGGAGACTGAGGCAAGATAATTAAACATGGGCAAACAATTTGAACAACTCACAGCCAGCTATCGTGTTGCAAGACCTCGTTTTCCCTAATCAAGGACAACTGAGAGCAAATAGTTTATACCTCTCTTCCCTGACCTAGTATACATAAACTAGAATACATAGTTTAAATCACCCTGGTCAGGGAGATAGAGGACAGAGACCCAATTAATGCCATTTGTGCCAGCCAAACCCAAGGACGGATGAAGTCAGGGAAACAAAGAACAAAAACCTGATTAGAGCCAGACAGACCCAAGATAAAAGTAAAACAGTAAAGCAGACCAAAGAGTAACCCCAAACTCCCCTGTGCGTTCATTTTGATGCATCAGCATATTAAAAATGCACCTAGAAAGCCGATGAATATTCTGCTGGAACCCTCCCCTAAGATTCTTGCCCACAGAAGAACGTTAACCCTCAAGACAAAGGATATCAGTACGGGCTCTCTCTGGCATGCCCTTCTTGGACATGAGCTTTTTGCTTCCTTCTAAACTCTAAGGGCCCCCATGAGACTTGCAGCCAGGGGAGCAGCAGGCAACGACAGCTTGCCCTGGGCTCACCCCCGACCCCCTCTAAGGCCCGCTTTTCTCTGGCTCTCCGGTGAGCTGACAGCAGCCCCACCTCGGCTCACTCCTTCCTACAACGTCTCTGGGGAGCCAAAGCAGAGCCCTGCCTGGGCTCTCTCCTGTTGCTTCTTCTACCCTACATCCTTCCTTTGTTTTACCATCCCCAGTTTTGATACACGTCCTCTCAAAATCACCTGGGCTCATCTTGTGAAATCTTTCCTGTAGGAAGTCAAGAGTCCACACACTACAGGCTGGCTTGAGGCAGACCTGCTTGGGGCAAGTCTTTGTCTGGTAACAGAAGGACCCTTTTTGTGAGGCGCTAGAGGAGGGCACTGAGTAAAGTGGTGGGAAAACAGAACGGCGAGACCACCGAGGAGGCTGCTGGGACTGCCCAGGGAGCCACGGCGAGCCCTGAGGTAGCAGCCTAACAGGGGAGCACAGGCAAGGGCGCCCACTTGAGGAATTTTTTGAAGCAGAATCGACAACACCTGAAACATCAGTTGGCTAGAAAAAGAGCAACTGGGAAAAGTCAGCTTAATGCAATAAGCCGTGGTGAGCGTCCATCAGGGACTGAGCGCCTCTGGGACAGACGAGGACATGGGGGTCTGTGAGCAACACAGACAGCTCGAGTGTCTGGGGAGCTCACTGTGCGCACAGGCTGCCGGGGTTGACCGGCTCGCCCTCTGCGTGGCCTGCGTGCTCTTCCTTCCAGCCCCTTTCCCGGAGGAGGAGGCTGAGGCACGGGCGGCCCATGGCCTTTCCCCCTCCATGTATCACTGCTGGAGTTTTCTAGCAGTGTTTCAGGTGTCTGTTTGCACAGCCGGTTGCAAGAGCAGGGGAATTTATGATCTGTTTACAGTAAGTGAGTCAGTTCCAGGAGAGGAACCTATGACTCTTGCAAACTTTTTTGGGGGGTGGGTGGTATTGGGACATGGGATATGTACTGAATATACGCAGTATCTATGGGTGTAGGTGTAATAGTATGGCTCTTGATGCATGTCTTCTCTCCCTACCGGAAGGTCAGGTTCTCTGAAAGCTGGGACTGCATGTAGATGTCTTCGAGTCTCTAGAACACCTAGTGCACTATAGCGGACACACAGTGACTCTTTGCTGGCTGAGAGCAGGGGCCTGGCCCGTGATGGGGGAGGGGCTGTCTTGACTGATGCTCTGCTGCCAGGGAGCACCTAGGGCTCTGGGAGGCTTCCAGCCAGGACCCTCAGGGCCCAGAGGGTGGGGTGGGGTGGGGGAAGACAGCGTCCTCACCATCAGCTGCTTAATGGTGGGGTGTTCCTCCGCCTCCCGGCCAGAGGCAGGCTCCTTGTGGACGATCTCCACGCGGATATCGTTCTTCGCTGACACAACACCTTTGAGATCTGGACACAGAAGAGGAACATGTAGATGACAAATTCAGCCTGCACCCTCAAGGACTAGGGTCTGAGCTGCAGAGCGCCCACCACCCCAGTCACCCCCAGAGTTTACCCTCCGGCCCCTGAACTCAGCGGCCTCACCGCCTCCCTCCTGCCTACGGTACAGCTGTCCGGACGCTCTGAGGGCTGTGAAGACCTCAGTTGTCTCTGCGGGCCCTCGGTTACGTGCATCTCATCCTGCTCCTGTCACTCCCATGGCTTGAGAGGTTGTTCTCAGCCCTTTGCCCCCCTTACAGAGCTAGGACCTGCCACGTCACTAAATCTTCCCTTCCTCCTAGAAATCCTCTCTGACCTACCCTACCAGGCTCTGATCTCTCCATGCAGAGACTCACAAGTCTGACGGTTGGAAAGGACCTTAGCGGTCAACTTCCCACCTAAAGCAGAAACCTTCCTGGCGTGGCGGGGGGCGGGGGGCGGGGGGAGCAGCCCCTGTATCAACGCCTCCATGACGGAGACTTGACAATGTTTCGAGGAGGTGGCCAGTTATAGTTGGAGAGCTGTTAGAAAATTCTGGCTAAGATCTGCTCCCTAGAGTTGCCACGGAAAGGGTGGTGAGGGCAGCCCTGAGGCCACACTGCCGGGGGAGTCAAGGCCACTTAGCTTGGAGCGGAGCAGGCGTAAGGGGGACGCCCAGCCTCCGTCCACAGTGAGGCTGCCCCATGGGGCAGGGGGAGGCTTCCTGATTATTCCTCTGCTGCCTTATGCTCACAGCACAGAATGTTAGAGCTGTGTGAGGTCTCAGAAGTCACGTCCTCCCACCCCTTACTATGACGCATGAGGAAGCTGAGGCGGGGGGCAGTGGCCACCCACCCAAGCTCATGCGTAGAGGGAGTGGGGCCGGAGGACTGCGCCTCCGTTGTTCTCACCCCCACTCCGCTGTCCATTTCACACGTCTGCATGGGTCCACCCCCCACATCCTGTCAGCACCATGCCCAGGATGGGAACTCTAGACGCATGCAATCTTCAGGAGCTCATAAACACTAAGGTTTTATTGCTAATGACGAAAGAGCTGTAAAAGTCTGCACAAAGTGATTCCTTGAATGTATTTTTTGTTTTTCATGGGTGCACGACCTGCTTTTCTGGTTGGACTCGCTGGTCTTTGAGGGGAAGGATGGACACGCCCCCTGAGATTTCTGTGGAGTTCTATACAGCCACAGGTGTTCAGTCCGAAGTGCTGGCTGACCGCCCTGCCGGATGAGGCTGTGTTCAGGCCAGTTCCCCCTCGGCTGAGCGCCCCGTGTGCCAGAAGCCCGCCAAGCAGCGCACAGACAGATGCATCCGACCCCATCCCGGCCCGTAGGTCACAGCACTGCCAGGACCCCTGCTCACTGCACTCCCGCTTACTTGCTCTCCGGGGCAGCCTAAGCCTGGCCTTTTTCTCTGTCCCCCTCCCTGAGATCCCGGGGCTCCCTCCCGTACTTCTCTGGGAGCGGGCACAGCAGAAGGCCACGATGGTTGCCATAAGGACGAGGAAGGCCACGCCGGCTCCTACGGCCACCCCGATGATGACGGCCATCGGCACAGACTCTGTGGGAGAGAAGCAGGCACAGCTGACAAGGGAGCCGAGGACCCACTCTCCCCCAGGGCCTTCCCCCGTTCCCGCGGGTGCAGCCTCCTGCCAAGCTGGGGCCAGAGCCCTGCGCACAGGCCCTTCTGGGAAGCCTCTGGGGGGTGCTGGGCAGGCACGGGATCGGCGTAGGTGGGACACCGGGTGCGGAGAGGGTGGGAGGAAGACACTGGAGTGGCGGTGGTGGGAAGGGAGGCAGGCAGACACAGGAGGGGTTGGGGGGCAGGACGGGGCATGGGCAATGAGCAGCCAGGCTGGGCGTGATACACCTCTCTTGGGCATTCCACCAGGAATAGTCCATCAGGCAGTGGCTGGGGAGTCAGAAGTCCTGGCTTTTCCTTGCAAAATGACTGCAGCCACTGCCCTCGTCTGTTCCGTTTGTGTTTTCCTTCTCCTCCCTTTCCCAGGTGCAGGAGGCTGGATGTGGGCAGCCAGCTTTTACAGTTCTTGGGGCCCACTGGGTATCAGCTGCTGTAGGTGCTGGAGGCCCAGGACTTAGGGGCCAGGGGAGCAGGGTCACAGCTCTGTCCTCTTCAAGGAAAGATCCCCCCCTTTCCTTGCACCGCCGCCCCTCCCAAGCCTTCCTCTTTCCGCTCCTTCCTCTCCCCGGCCAGGACTCTGGGCGTCCGGGCAGACTCTCTCGAGGGGCCCGGAGCTGCGGCCACGCAGAGCCTCCTTCCCGCTGAGTGCCTGTGGCCCGTGCCTGCCCAGGCCCCGTGGGGATGGGGATGGGGATGGGGAGGGCGACGTCGGGCCGGGGTGGGGGTGCCCTCCCGGACGGCCCTGGCCTCTCTGTGGCCGCACTCGGGGGCTGAGCACATGGGGCTTGGATAGTCCACTGGGAATAGAACTTGCGAATGCAGTGGGACGGAGGCCGCAGGGCCCACTGCGCCCACGGCTCTCACTTACAGATGGAAACACTGAGGTCCAGAGAAGCTAAGTGACCTGGACAGGGACACACAGCTTCAGCAGAGTCCGGGCACATCTAGGCCCCCTCTTATCCCACTGCCCACTGTGATCCTGCCCAGCCCTGCGTAGCGCAGGCTCCAGCACTTCCGAGCGGCTTACTTTACCTCTCTTATCTGCCAAATGGGAAGGTGGCAGGGCCTATCCCAGGCTGTGCTATGGGGTGTTGGGGGGTGAATGAGGCAATGACCTTGAGCTGAGCCTGGCACCCGCCCCGCTCGCCCCGGCTCCTGTTTGTCAGTGGGAAGGAGGGCTGTAAAGGGAGCTGGAGCACCTGCCCGCCTGCCACCTCCCTTGCCCGCCCGCGCCCCATTCCTCAAAGTGGATGACATCTGGGTATTTGTCTTGGGCTGTGGGTCAGCCTCTTGTGGTTGTTTTCTTAGGGAGAAGAAGAGAACTGCAACCCTGGCTCCTGGAGACACTGCAGGGAGGCGGCGGCGGGTCCCCTCCTCCTGGACTGAGAAGGAGCCTGCGGGATGACGGTGTGGGCGGCTCTGCGGGTACCTGCCTCCCAGCCCAGGGCCTGCCTACCGGTGGCCGGGACACCGTGAGAGTGGCCGGGGAGGAGGCGGGGAGCAGATGGTGTAGCAACTGTCCAGGGATCAAAAACGGAGGCGCCTGCGTTGGTCCCAACAGCCAGGAGAGAAGGCCCTTGACTCAGTGGCCCCGCTTTGACAGACAGGTGATTCTGTCTCCAGCGTTAATCCCATCGGGGAAGGAAAACTGCTTTGGAAGCTCATTGACTCTAGGCTTTTGAACTTTATAGATTTGGGTTTGATTTCAGTTCTTCTCAGGTTCCTAGTAAGTTTCCTTGGAGTAACTTGGTCTTGCCTCAGCTGAGCTCAGATGACCATGGGGGGTCCCGTGGCCTCTCCGGGCCTCCCTCCCTCGGGGTCTCACCGTAAAACCAGAGAACCGAGGAAGCGCTTCTCTGTGTCTCGCCTCCTGTGGCTCCACACGTCCCTAAAGATGTTGACAGCTGGGAGGCGCCATCTTATCAGGAGCAGGTGGGCGGGGGCAGGAGAGGGTCTGACGGTGACCCGGGACCCCTGGGCATTCCTCTCTGGCCTGCCGGCTTCCCCAGGTCTGGCCCATGTCCCCCATGCCAGCTGTCCTCTTCTGGTCAGAGCACCCCCAGAGGTCCCCTGGCAAGGGAGGGACTGGACAGAGGCGCTGCCCACCGGTTCAGCCTCGTCTCGGTCCAAGGGGGCGGGCCGGGTGTGAGGAGTCAGCCAGTCAGGGGCCAGGGACCTCTGGGCAAGCGTGACCAGGCACACGCGAGGTGGAAGAAGGCAGGAGATGCTGTCCGCAGCCCCGGGAGGGGCTCCGCGGGGCCTTGGGGACAGCACAGCAGGAGGCTGGTCACTGCCATTTCCGAGAGCCTGCCTGTGCCCCGCTGAAGCTTGCGGGAGGCGCTGGCCGGCCCTAGCTGCTTCCGGGCCAGCCTCGGGGGAACAAGGGCCGAGGGCCGCCATCTTCCGTGTGCCCTCGGTCACCCTGTGGAAGGGACCCGATTCTCTTGCAATGACCCGATTCTGTTGTCTGCGTTTCTGCTTGGGGGGCGGGGGCCACATCTCCTGTGGGGCCCAAGACAGAGCAGCTCAACCCCAAGACCCTGAGGACCGCTCCGCTGCCAGGTGCCCAGGGAGGGAGGCGCTGCCCGCAGCCCCAGCTGGCAGTGGGCTGGCAGTGCCTGGGGAACCGCAGGAGCGGGGGTGGGGGGCGGGGGTGGGGGTGGGGTGTGTGGGGGAGGAGGCAGCCATGAAAAAGCATGGATTGGCATGGATTGATTATGCAGGCCACAGCAGGGGCTCGAGGCCCCGGCCCAGGAAGCCATCGCCAAGCTGGTGAGGATGTGGAGAAGCTGGAAGAGTCAGGAGGAAATAGAGGGAGGCCAGGCTGAGGGGAGCTGCCCCGGAGGGGAGGGGCCAGGGCTTGGAAGGGAAGGGACAGAGGAACATAGCAGGGGGACAGGAGCCCGGTCCCTGGCTGCAAGGAGCCTGTAGGCTTTCGTGGCAGCGAGGTAGGAGACAGACGGGGGGTCCTCCCCCGGGGGCTGGGAAGCCCTCTCCCTGGGGCTCTGACTGCACTGAACCCTCGGCGGGGGAGGGCAGAGAAGTTAGTGGCCTGCACAGGCCTCCCTTCCCCCTCGGGAGTCCCCTCCCCCACTAGCCCTGCAGTCCCTTCCTCCCCCCCCACCCAGGGAGTTCTCATGTCTCCTTCCGTACCTGCTTCCAGCCCGGCTCCCGACTTCATTTCTGAACCTGTTTGGAAATAAAGCAAGCGTCCACAGCCAGGGCCTGGCTGGCCAGGGCGGGGTGGGAGGGGGGTGGAGGGGCCGCCCCCTGCTGGGGTCTGGGGTGAGGGGCTCCCTCCTCAATCACGTCTTCAGGGCTGCCCGACAGATCCAGGCTGTCCCGACTGAACTCAGAGAGATTTAGAGGGGCCAGGGGCCAGGGGCCAGAGAGAGAGGTCGAGGCTGGGGGGTGGGTCTGGGAGGCGGTGAGAAGGCTGAGAGGAGAGCATGGCGGGGGGCACCGAGGGGAAGACAGGGAGGGTAGCAGCAGGGGACCGGAGGTTGGGGGTGATGTGTGGATGATGTTATGCAAGTTATGTGCAAAGCGTTATGCGAAGCAGCACCTATTAGGGAAGAGGTGTCGGGAGACACTGTGTGACCTGCGGGGGCCTTCATTTCGGAGGGGCCGGAGAGCGCCAGGGCTGGGCCCCCGGAGAACCCTGCGGCCCATGTCAGGACCCCTGTGCTGCCAAGGGCCCCAGCTTCTCTGGACCCCGCTCTGTGCACCCTGCCAGGCTCCCCGCCCTCCGGTCTAGGTGAGACATTTGCCTAGAGACTGGAGGTCACGACCAGGAACTGGGCAGTCTGCACCCGGGGTTACAGTGGGGTGAGCCCTCCCCTGCCCTCCTCCTCCTCCTCCTCCCCCTCCCCTTCCTCCCGCACTCAGCCCCTCTGCCTAGAGCAGGCTTCTTGGTCCATGTGTCTCACTTGTCCTGTGGGAACTGCAGAGGGTCTGAGCATCCCCCCACCCCAGGTGGTGGGGGCCACTTGGTCACTTCCCTTTAGCTCAGCTTGGGTGCCTCTGGGGGACTTTTGGGTGTCTGGACTGGCTTGTTGTGTTAACTGCCTTTGCCACGTTCCCAGGAGGTCCATCCTAGGGCACCCCGGTGTCCCGCCCAGCAATTACACACCCTGAGGGCACCATGGCATCAGACCAGGGCCCCCCCGGGAAATGCTGAGCGTAGGCAGGCCAGGGCCTTCAGAAGGCGGTGGCAGCTCATGATGTCGCTGCCCTGGCTCAAGAAGGCCGCCCTCTTCCCTGAAACGTCCAGCAAAGGGCCCGCTCCTGGAGCAGCTTTCTGATTCTTTCCGCTTCCTGGTGCTCGCTAGCGCCCCCTGGCCTCCAGGGGCGCTGGGACGAGGGGGCTGCTTCCAGGGACCTGCCCCAGGCCATGAGGCCTGCCGCTTCGTGGCCAGTGACAGGAGCACAGGGACCTGTCCTCGGGGCCCGCCCCACTTGCAGCCTTCACTAGGCGCGTTGCCCCCTCAGAGCCCCGGAAGGCCTGGCCTGGGGCGTCCCCAGCCCCCACCTTGCTCCTTGAGCCGGATGATCTCCGTGTCAGAGCCGAAGCTGTTCCAGGCGGTGCAGTTGTAGATGGTCTGGAAGTCGGCCCGCACGATGTTGCTGATGGTCAGGGTGGAGATGACGCCCTCCTCCGTGCTGACCGTCTCCACTGTGTAGCGCCCCGACGTCCCTGACTCCAGCACGTTCTCCTTCCACGACCAGGCCTGCCCGGGGCGCCAGGGTTAGGAGGGGACCCCGCCTGGGCCACCCCCACCAGGACCGCCATGCTGCCTTGTGCCCCAGGCTCAAGGCTCACTGTCCCCAGCACAGGTGCATGTACACACAGAGACACTCACATCCCAGGACACACAAAAATGCGCGCCCGTACCACAAACACATGTATACACATGTTCACACATAGACACACACCCTGGCACACCACAGGCATGTACACACATGACACACATAAACATGCCCTGACCCCTGCACACAGCACACTGCCCCACCCAGGGCCAGCATGTGTACACACATGTACACGCCACGCCGCATGTACCCACACGTAGAGGCTGGGCCACCTTTGGAGGGCATTTCCTTGGAGAAGGGTCCGTATGTGGGTCTGCCCTGGAACAGCCTTCCAGGCCAGCAGGAGCCCCATCACGGTGAACGGGCCGCCCCGCCCCCACACCGGGCTGGCCTGCGCCAAGGCCTCCCTGACATGCTCCTGCCAGCTGGTCGCTGGAGACAGAGGGCCGGCGCCAGAGTGGCTGAGTCTAGTGTTGTTACTTTTATGTCTTGTCTGTGAAAAAGTGTGTTCCAAGGATTGTCTGAGGTCACCTTGGATCTATCTTAAATTCTAAGGACGGTAGTTGGCGTTTTCCCAGAGCTGTCTCCCAGGCACCGCGGGTCCCTTGCTCACTGTGGCCCAGGCAGGGCAGGGCCGCAGGCGCCGGGGGCTGGGGTGACGGCTCTGCCTCAGCACCTGACATTCTCGGGGACTGCGCCGTCCTGCTCATTGTAGGATGTATAGGAGGTGCAGCAGCGTCCCGGCCTCTACTTGCTAGAGCCAGCTGCACCCCACCCCTCAACTATTCGGTCAGGTGCCAGCGTGACAGCCAAAGATGTTGCCAGAGAAGGCCAAATATCCCCTGGGGGCCAAGTCGCCCTGTGAGACCCTCTGGCCTAGAGTGAGAAATCTGTGAAGAGGAGTGTGTGGCTGTGCTCAAGAGTGAACGGGGTATTCTGCAATGGACGTGGGTTGCACTTATAGTTAAAGAAGATTAAAGAGGCATGGGAACGGGGAAGTGTAGGTATTAGTTCTATGTGTGAATTCTTGCAGTTTTTGTGTGACTCGTTCAGACAGTGCAATAGCTGCATGCCTGATGAAGCAGGTACCAGCAAGGGCGCTCTAGTACCATCTCATGTACGGGATGGCACGCGGAGTTTGTACAGCCTCGACCTCCCAGCCCCGGACACGCACGTCCCACGGTGGTTCAGGGTGCTCCCCACGCCCTCCCTGGCACTGCTGGACCCTGGAAGGCAGAGCCGCCCCTCAGGGTGGGCCTGGGACATCTCCTAGCAGGACTGCCTTAGGCACTGGGGCCACTAATAATGATATCCGCCCCCTTCCGCCCAGTGCTGCCCAAGGTTCACCGTTCTTGGTCTTTTTATACCTGACTTCCACCAGTTTCAGGTGGACTGGAGTGGAAGGCTCCCTTTCACAGATGCAAATACCTGAGAGGCCTAAGGGTGGGCGATCGGGTTGCCTTAGCTACACTGCGTGGAGATTGGGGTTTCAAGCTAGGTGCGGGAATGGAATGGCACTTTTAGATGGAAAAACTTGATAAACTTGATAAATGCGGCAGCCTTCATTCTCCATGGATGCAGGCCTAGAGACGGGGGCTCTGAAAGGTCCCGAAAGGGGTCTGCCCCCTATAAACTGCACTCTGCATAGGATTTTGCCAAGCACTGGCCTAGAACCAGGAAAGTGAAGAAATTGTGTATCTTTCTTTTCCTTCCACCCGCCTCGCTTGCTCCTCTGCTCTGGGGATGCCGAACTCTGTTAGCACCATCAATGCTAGGACCCAGCTCCACGGAAGAGAGGCATTAAATACACTTGCTGACCCTGGCCGGGTGGCTCAGTTGGTTGGAGCATCGTCCCACACACGAAAAGGTTGTGGGTTTGATCCCCAGCCAGGGCGCATATGAGAGGCAACCGATCGATGTTTCTCTCTCACATTGATGTTTATTTCTCTCTCTCTCTCTTTCTCTCCCCTCCTTCCTCTCTCTCTAAAAGCAATAAACATATCGTTGGGTGAGGATAAAAAAAGAAAAAAAAACACCCTGTAGACAAACCCTGGCAGTACCTCTTGCTCTGAAAAAGCAGACTGCCTGCGATTTTTGTCTTGGTGGTGCCATTCTGAGAGAGCAAGCGGGAATAATTTCCCCGGCAGAGGAAGGGAAGCCCGGAGGTCTGCGCTGACGGCCTGGGGGTCCGGCAGCGGTGGGCGGCCGTGGCCTGCCCGGCGCTGAGGGTGCCCTGGTTCGATGCCCCACCGCCCGCCCCCGCAGAGCACTCACTATTCGGTCGGGGGGCGGCGTGCTCCGGATGAAGCACTTGATCTGGCCCTTTTCCCCGTGGAGGGCGTGCTGGGTCTGGGTGCTGGAGATGATGGGGGGTCCTGTTGGGGAAACAGCATCACATCAGGGCTTCAGGAAGGGCAGGTCCCCGGCCCGGCCACTCGTGGGGGTGGGGGAGGGGCGTGTCCAGGAGTTTATTCATTATTTCAGTCACCCAGCAGACATTTCCTGAAGGCCTGTGTGTACAAGGTGAAGTGCAAGGTCATGAACCTCTTCAGGGGTCGTGAGTGGATGCTTCTAACTCAGAATGCCCAGAAGACATTGTAGGGGTTCAGAATGAGTCCCCCAACATGTGCTGCTGTGGTGTGGGGATTATTTTGAGCCAAAGGCAATGCACACACTGCAGGCTCAAGGGAAACGTCTACCTCCCCTTAACTACCTCTAGGAATTTAAATTAAGGGCCCTGCCTCTAAGGAGACATTTTCAGAGGTAACATTTTTGACCTGCCGGAATAGCAGGGCGGGCTACCCCGTACTGAACACCTGCTTCTCTCACCGTTCTGTCCTCCCCTCCCGTCTGCAGCCCCACGGTGCCGGTCCTTATCCTTAGCTCGGAATTCCCTGTACACCTCATTTTACCTTTCTGTCCCTCTCTCACACATGTGGAGGTCTCGTATGTACACATGTACTTAAACTGGGTCATTTTCTCTTATTAGTCTGTCACAAATTCATGTGATTATTCAACCAGCCAAAAGAATGAGAGGAGGAACCGAGGGGGTGTTTCCCTCTCCTCACCACATAAATAAGCGTGATGAAAGGTGGTGAGTGTTGGGATCACCGCAACGTCCAGAGGAAGGGTTAACCGACTTGAGAGGAGAGAGAATAGTTCTACCTGGCGGATAGGGGGCGCTTTATGAAGGAGGGGGGGTCCACCTGAGAAGGGAGTGGGGAGCGGGGAGGAAGGAAGTGATACAGCAACGCTAACTGATGGGACACCTCCACCTGGAGCCGTCGGTTCCATTTCAAGCCATTTTCTCTGATCACCAGTAGAGGGCGCGCTTGCCTAACAAACCCGCTGTCCCGGGCGTGCCGAGCTTCTAGGGAGGTGGAGACGCGGTGCTGCGGTGAGGCTCCTTTCCGCCAGCGGGGAAATCACCCTGAACAGGCGCTAGGCGCTGGGCACGTTCAGAACCTTCATCTCACACGCATCTTGGGAGACCCAGGTGAGACCGGGGCTCCAAAGCTGACCCCAACATCTTCTCACTCGGTCCGTGTGCGTGCGTGTTTGCACCTGTGTGTGCACGTGTGTGTGTGACCTCCCAGGGTCCTGGAGTACCTGTCTCAACATTGCACCAGGCAGCCTAGCGAGTCTCCCTCAAGTTCACAGCGCTTCCGGTCTCCTCTGCCTTTCCTCTGCCCTAAGTCTCTCCTGCCCGATGCCCACCTGGCAGTGAAAGAGCAATGTAGGAGCGGTGAGTTCAGTCATTTGTGCAGCCAACTCCCTGGCTGGATGGGCAGTTGAAGCAAGGGGTAAGAGGGTGGAGGCCCCTGTGCCCCCTTTTCATTCCTTGGGGTAAAGACCAGGGCTTAGGTGGCAGGAAACAGAAGCAAGAGAGGCAGAGAAAGGGATCTGAGGACAGGTAAAATTATGCCAGGAACAAAACAAAAATCGCTGCAAACATAATTGCTGTTTATTAGCCACCTTAATTAAACTAGATTTGCATTTCTATGAGTAGCTCTCAGCCAAGGGGGAAAAAGCTCCCGGGAGACACTCAAGTGGCTTTTTGAGTTTAGGCTGCAAATGGCTTGGAGCTGGGTGAGGCAGATGTGGGGGGACCTCCAGACCGGGGCTTCCACACTCAGTTGGCTTCCCGAGTGGGCTGAGCCCTCAAGTGCCAAGAAGCCTTTGGGCAAAAGGTGGGAGGGCTGGGTGTTTCAGGAACTTGAAGAGGCTTTGTTCTGCTGCTGGGCTGGACGTGATGAAACCGCAATACCTTTCCCCCTTCACTTCCCAGGCGCTAGGAGCCCCCTGGGCTATTCTCCGGCAACTGCATCTGTGTTAAAGGGCTTCTTAAAAGAAACCAGCCATCGGTACAGAGGCGGGTGGGGTTGAGGGAGGCACAGCGCAGCCGAACTGCAGCCCACCTCCCTGTCCCGCAGATCCGGGGGCGAGCCAAAGCAGCTGTGCCCGCGGACCCCCCCACCACGCCCCCCTCCCCGAGGGCAATGGCCGCAGCCCTACCAGCTGGGATTTGTTTTGAAGAACACCCCATCATCCTGGATCCGTCAGGATGTTGGGTCCCTCAGCCCGGTGCAGGCCCCCCCCGCACGAAGGGCTGCACCATCCCCCAGCCTGTTCTCCAGGTGCCCGGCTGGGCTGCCAAGCTCCGCCCCCTGGGCCCTTTTACCCGGCCCCCCCACCACCTCAGGGCAGGAGGACCCTAGTTCAGCAGAATTGAGGAGCAGCTTTCTCACTTTACTCCCACCCCTTGGGTATTTTCCCCCTGGCAACCTAGGGGTGCTCGGGCGGAAGGACTGGAGGCAGAAAAGGGGGATGGAAAGGCAGACGCTGGAGGGAGCAGATTAGCTCCTGGACAGATGCCAGGGCCCTGGCTGGGGTCATCCCATCTAAGAGGACTCTCCCTCCAAGATGTGCATTCCTGCCCTGGCCGGTGGCTCAGCTGGTTGGAGCACTGTCAGGTTGCGGGTTCGATTCCTGGTCAGGGCACACGCTTCGGCTGCAGATTCAATCCCTGCCTGGGGCACGCATAGGAGATGGTTGATCAATGTTTCTCTATTCCCCTCTCTCCCTGCCTCTCTCTCTAAAAGCAATAAAATCATATCCTCTGGTGAGGATTAAAAAAAATAAAAAAAGATATGTCTTCCCTCCTCAAGAAACCACTTTAAATCTCTGCTGGGAAATTCCTGAATGTCTAAAGTGACAATGGAATGTCAGTCCCTCCTTTATTCATCCTGGTTACCCTAGAAACAAGGATGCTCCTTTAAAAGCTTCAGGCTTGGGGACCCTGGAGGCCCTGTGTGAGTCTGAGGATCCCCAGACTGGCAGGTCCCAGACCAGGGTACCAGAGACAATCCTAGTCGCGGGCCAGCACTGCCCAGTAGCTCCCCAGAACCGGTGGGGGGAAGGGGTGCTGAGGCTTCACCAGGGCCTGGTGCTGCGGAGCGGAGAGTCAGACACCAGCGCGGCAGGAAAAGGCTGCAGCCTGTGTTGCCATGGATATTCGGAGGCGCGATCAGATGCTGTTATTTTTAGCCCTGCTGCGCCAATTTATTGGTGGCATCCTAGGGACACATAGGAAAGGCAGGAGGCTCCAGAGTCAGGATTCTACCCAGGACAGGTGGCCTGTGAGCCCTCGGGGGTCCTGTTAGGTGACCCCCACTCTGAGGCTGCCATGACCCGTGGGGAGAGGAGAGGAGGAGGAATAGATGGAGAGGCTGGCTGAAGGGGACAGCAGAGGGGGCGGCTGAGGGGCACCACGCTGGTCTGTTTTCTAGCAAAGAGGAGCACAGAGGGGCTTTCAGAGGGCAGCTTCCGGGGCCGAGAGGAAGCCGCCTGGACACATTTCCAGAACCCAGCTCCACCCCTCCCGAGAGCCATGACAGACCGTGGTGGGAGCAGGGTTGCACGGGCCGTGGGCACGGCAGACAGGAAGCGGGACACCGGAAACCCAGTGTAGGGAGGAAGCTGGGAGGTGGCCGAGGACTTGGCCTTGGTGTTTTTCACCCTCTCAAACCAGCACCTTGGGTTCCTGACTGAGGCCCGGGCCCTTGGCACATTGGACTTCTGGTGCTACAACCATCTTGGATCTGACCTGCGCTGGGTCAGACCCATGACCTTTGACGTCCCATCAGCCAGGCCTGGTCTCAGCCCTGTCCCCTAAATGCTTCACGTAATGGCCACCTAGGAGCTCACACTGCATTCTTGGAGGGAGGTGAAAGCGCGCCCCTGTGGTGAGGATTCTCATTTTCTAGAACGAGACACCTTCCCTCCGCTGCACGGGGCCCTGGCACGCTCGGCCACCTTGTGGCGTGGTGACCGCTGTCCCCAGCTGAGCGGCTCTAGCGCAATGGGAAAAGGCCGACCTGCAGTCCAGAGATGCTCCCTTCCGATCCCACCAGGGCCAAGGTCAAGGTTGAAAGGTGGGTTTGGCTCTGGCTGCCCAGTGGCCCTCTGACCCTTTTTTCCTGGCCAGGATAACATTCATCAGCTACTGCTTTGAGACCTGACACCCCTTAAAAGATAAAGAAGAAGCGAGGTGACCAGAAAACTACCCAGGTCCTTCCTCAGGTCAGACTGGGCTCCCACACAGACTCGGCAAGGTGGACGTCATTGCTGTGGACCCACAGTTGGCGGTCCCTTGGGTCACTGCCCGGGACCAAGACGCCTTGGGTCCCTCTCCTCTCCCTCCCTGCCACCCCCTGCCCTGGCAGGAGTGGCGGGGGCTTACCGTTGACAGTCAGGGTCACCTCTCGCTCCCCGGCCCCCACCCGGGGCACCACCGCTCGGCACACGTACTTCCCGGCATCCTCCTGGCGGACGGCTTTGAGGGTCAGCGTCTTTTCATTGCTCAGGACCTGGGAGAATCGGGGAGAATCGGATGCAGAGGGTGGGGGTGGGCTCTCTCGGTCTTTGAGAACCAGAGAGTCTGAGAGACAGGCCTGGTAGAAAGGGACTTGTTTCCTAGTTCTCTGTAAGAACGAGGTGTGGGGTAGGAGACCCACGTTCATTACAGAGCAGCCACGGGTGGGAATGCCCACACATGGAGGAAGGGCCCTGTGTGGCCGAAATGTTACTTTCTGCTGCAGCCCTGGGGGAGGGTGCCTGAGGGGGAGGAGGGTCTCCTGGGTGCTCCCCGAGGCGTTCTTACTGGGGCCGGGCTGTCCCCCAACCTGGCCCAGGCTGGCCGCAGCGGAAACGACCCTACAGCTGAACTTCTTGGAGGGTCCCTGGGCCTGCCTTTTCTGAGTCATTTTCAGTATCCCTTTGGGATGTGGTTTGGGGTGAAGAAAAGAAAACAGCCCATGGCATTGGTGAGTTCCGAGCTGGGATCCTGCAGAGCCCAGCGGTGACTCACCTGTGCGGTTGTGGGCAGTTGCTTTTCAGCACTGAAGCTGCTGCCCTCCCCCCGCGGCCGGGCAGTGAGCTCACCAGGTGCGGAGCTGGCCACACGGAGGCCGCTTTCCCTCTGCCCCCCACCCCCGTACCTCCTGCCTAAGGCACTCACGGGTCCTCCGGAGACAAACTCTAATGCATGTGAAAGAGCACGCACATTTTAAAAGAGGAGCACAGAAGGAGAGCAAAGCTTAACCCAAAAGGGTAACTTCATTTCGGGAAAGTTGAAAAGCCTTCCTAGCGGCTTTTCACTCCCAGCGTATTGGTGACCACGAACTTTTCTCATCAATTTCACGGCCGGAAAACCCGCAATGGCTGCATGTGTTCATGGCCGAGGAGGGGGTACATGTGGGCACCCCTCTCTTCTTTCTGGGTTCCTTCTTCCTTTAGCTGCCTGGAGGCTGACACCCCCGGTATAACAGTGACGGGGCCCTGGAAGGCAGTCCCCGCCCGGCCCGTGACCCCCACCCCCGCCAGAGGCGTGCTGGGCTGAGCGGTGGACTCACCACGCCGGAGCCCCGTTTCATCCAGACGATGGTCAGGGACGGGTTTCCCGTCCAGGCGCAGCTGAAGACGGCATCTGAGCCCAGATCCACGAGCAGGGACTGGGGCTCCATTGTCATCCGGGGCCCGACTGTGAGGGGTAGAAGGACGAGACCAGGCTCTGGTGGGCTGGGAGCTCAGGGGACCCTTTTAGTAGCTGCCACCCTCCCCCACTGTGGGTGCCGGTGCCACCTCAGTCCACTCCAGCCCCTTCCTTACATTTCAGCCCCCGGCCCTCTGGGCCTGGGGTGGGAGATTAAGACAAGCCCCCTCTCCCCCTGAGCCCGGCCTTCCTTGGGCCCAATGCAGGACGGGACAGCCCCCACCCCAGGAGAAAGGCTCTCTGGCCCCATGTGCCTGGATAGGCCCTCAGGGCTCTCCCATCGCCTCCCCTGTGTCCGGTCCCAGGAAGTCCCCCCTCGCAGGGCATGGGCAGAGGGGTCTTCCCGTTAGGCCTCAGGAGCTCCATCTGTCACCTTCGAATCAACTGGCTGCTGCCTGAGCTCCCAGGCCCCTCCTAGTGGCCCTGAGATACGGGATGGAGCAGGCGTGTGGCCTGGGGGTGCTCCCAGGGTCCCCGCCTCTGCTCTCGGCGGTCCCCCCTTCCAGCCCCTTCCGCGGCCCTGCTAGGTGTCGGTGAGGTTCATGGAGGCCCCTCTCTGCATTCCCTGCCCCCGCCCCCAGCCTCCTGCAGACCAAGCCTGGTCCGCGGAGGGAGCACCGGGGTGAACTTTAAGGCACTGTGATGGGGGGCGCGCAGAGAGCTGTTTCAGGGAGCGAAAGAGTGAAGCCTGGGGTCAGGAGCCTGGGCGTGCCCCTTGCTGTAGGCTGGGAGCACAGGACTCTCTGGTGAGGTTGTTGGGGCAGAGGGCAGGGTCAGGCGTCAAGAAAGTTTGTGAAAGCGCTTTTAAAACTGCAAAGGGCAGTAGAGGTGCTAAGGCTTATTGCTCTGAGTGCATCCAGCAGCCGATGGGGAGGTGTCTGCCAGGCAACCAGGAAGAAGAGGGGGCCTGAGCCCAGGGTCGGGGGAGAGACTGAGTGGACCGCAGTGGATTTGCTCAGAGTTTGGCCTCAGTTTCCCTTCTGTCACCTCCTCACTGTGTGACCTTGGGCCTCGCTGTCCCTTCCTCTGGGCAGTGGGAGCAATGCTGCCTCCCAGGGGGCTGTGAGGAATGCCAGGAGGAGGCCCTGTGCGAAGGGCGTGGCTTCATGAGCTCGTGGGGCACTGCGCCGTTGCGTGGGGCGAGTCCAGCACTGGCTGCTCCCCGGGCCCTGAGCCGGCACACCCCAGGGCCCACGCCCCCAGGGCGCCCCCGGGCGGCGGCACTCACAATAGACGTCCACGGTGCGGCTGATGTTGGTGCTGCCCAGGGCATTCGTCACCTCGCAGGAGACGGGCTCGGAGAAGTAGGTGTAGTCCACGGTGGTTCGATACACCTCTCCCGACGCCTCCTTGATGATCTGGCCCCGCTTGGCCCACCTGCAACACAGGTCCCCAAGGCCGGCGTGACCTCTGACGGCAAGGACATTGCCTCAGGAGCTTTTCTCTGGGAGCTGGACCCATCCATCCCACAGGAGAAGGAGGCGTGGCCTGGGGCAGGCCCCTGCGGGGTCCCTCGGCGGGGAGTCTCCAGGGCAGGGTTACTTCCGGGGCTGGGGAGCAGCTGGGGGCGGTGGGCTTCGGTCTGAGGGTCACCAGGCGGGCAGTGGCACTGGACAGGTGAGTTAACCTGTTCCGTCCGTCAGCCCACCTGGCTGGCGAGGCGATGGATAACCCGGCCGTCGGTCCCCAGGCAGCTGGCCCACCCTGCTCGGAGCTCCGTCAGGGACCCTGTCCTGGCCAAGGGCTAATGGCACGTGCCCACGCATGCCCGCGTGGCCCTCACGCCCACATGCGGAGGAAGGAGGCTCTGGGAAGCTTGGTTTCCAGACGAGGGGAGAAGCAGATGGACAGCGTCCACCAGAGTTGGCCCCGCCTACTCTGCCAGTTCTCTCCGGTCCTGACTGCTGTCCCCAGAGTGGGTCCCGGCACAGGGCCCCCGCTCTCCCTTCCAGCCCCATCGCCCCGCCCCGCCCCACCAGGGATGGCACCCGCTCTTTTTTTCTGTCTCATTTCCCCCTCCCACTCTGGCATCGCTGCTCAGAGGCCTGGGCTCCATCGGCCCTGGTTGCGTCAGGGCGGCAGGAAGAAGGCTGTGCCGGTGTCTGTCACCGGCCGACCCACCCGGCCAGTCAGCACCAACAGAGGCGGGAGGCCAAGGCACCTCGGGCCTGTCGGGGTCCCGGCCCTGGAACAACGATCTCTGCACTGGGCCAGCGACTGGGCAGTCTGCGACCCGGGGGCGGCGCCCGCGGTCCCCTGTGTCGGGGCGCGTGGGGGCCCGTGGGGGCCCGTGGAGGCCCGTGGGGGCTCTCCTCACAGGTCTCCAAGGACGGGATTCATAGCCGCCCCAGGTTTAATTCCACTGTGGACAACACTCGCTTTTTAAAATGACAAAACTTTTGGCCTGGTTCATCCTGCAGTTCAAACCTATTTTGGGGGGGCATGTCTTTACCGGAGCTGGAGAGGTTCTTTGGTCCCCACAATTGCTACCCTGTGGCCACGGGTCTCTGTAACCACAGCTTCCCTGCAGGCTCTGCCTTCACCCCACTTTCATTCCAGGGGCTGTTCCTGGAAGCCGGGAGTGGGGGGGTGGGGAGGGGGGGGGCTGGCCGCCCTTCCCCCTTCCCTCCCGCAGCTGTTTCCTGTCCCTGGGGGACGGCCATCTCTCAGCATCATATGGAGCTCCCAGGCTGGCACCATGGGGTTATTATTGTGAATTAATACTGGGTGATTATTAAGAACACGATTAATAATAACAATTACAGTTTAACAACAGAGCAAACCATGCTCCCTGAGAGCTTAAGGAGCTTCCCAACAAACCATTATGAGTTACTCATGAATCACTTCAATTTCTAACTTTAATTTAATGACCAGACTTAATGGGCACAGCCCCTGCCTGAGGCGGATGAACTCAGTCCCAGACACACGCTGGGGACGGGTGTCCAACCCCTGCCCCTCCCGCCCTGCTGCAGTCGGGGGTCGTGGGCCGGAGGCGCAGGGTGGGGCGGGGAGGAGGGCAGGCCTGCTCGCTCGGAGCTCGACCCGCTGGGGCGCTGGGGACACTGAGCCTTCTCGTCCCAGCAGAGCTGAGCTGTCCGAGCCGGGCCGTCTGTGCGGCTGTGGCCTTTGGCGCCCCAGGCCTGTCTCTACCTTGGAGGCAGAGGGGGCAGCAGGAGACCTTCTTAGACTGTCTTCTCGCAGGGTCATGGCAGGAGCTGGCGGGGGGCAGAGCCTTCCGGGGATACCTGGAGGGTCCCCTGCTCACATCTCACTCTGCCCATCTTCTCCCGCCCCATTTTATTCCCCTCTCACACCAAAGAACCTGTCTCGGGGGGATCCGTCCAGAACCTCAAACCACTCTGGCCACAGGATCAAGGGGAAACCAGGGAGCAAGAACGTCCTTCCCCGGCCCGTTTCCCTCAGCTCTTCTCCCTTCTCCTCCAGGTTCTTTGGCTCAGCTTCCTCCTGCCACTCTCTCCTCTTGTCCCCTCGCCTGCCTGCCCTCCACCCCCCGCCTCTCCCAGCCCCTCAGAACAGGAGTCAGGGCGATAAGCCTTTCCCCATCGATGTGGATGTGGCCCCCGCGAATGGAAGAGGATGAAACGTCTGCATCACAGGATCAGGAGCCCGGTGCGTGACAGCCCGCTGGCTGTCCCCAGTTGCCCCAAGCTGCACCTTGGGCGGCAGTCCCCGCCCCCTGGCGCCTGTGGGGCCCTGAGGGAGCCTCAGAGGCAAAGCAGGTGGGAGAGGGACGTGATGCTGCTCTGGGGCCTGTTCTCACCCGGCTCCTGATCCCCAGGGGCGACCGAAGTGACAGCTGAGCCGGGCTGGGTGTGCTCCCGCGCCCACCCTGTTCCCCGTTCTGGGCGCCGAGGGCACATTTCTAATTTCTGAGATCACAGCCTCTATATAAAGCAGGGAGGAAGCCATGGAGAGGAATGGAGAAGAGACCCAAAGATCCCTGTAATCTTGTCAAAGTCAATGGGGGAAAATCAATGTGCTTATGTGATGAGATTTGCTGAAGGCTTTCCTCGTGGAGCCCAACAAGGCTTCTAGAACGGCCTGCTGGGCGAGACCTCACTGAAGCCAAGGGGCCCAGAAGGTAAGGGTGGGCTCAGCACCCCCACCGCCTCTCTCCGCAGCCCCTCCCCGACTTCTTTCCCAAGCGGTCCAGCTCCCAGGAGGCCCGGAGGGAGCCTGATCCACTGGGAGGCATTCTCGGGACCTTCGGCTAATCAGAAGGCTAGGGGGAAGGTGACAAGTAAGGACAGGTGCCCCGCCGTGGGGAGCCCCCCGGCCCCCTGACAGCTCCTCTCTGTGTGCAGGGCGGACCTGGGACAGTGACCTGCAGGGCTGGATGGAGCTGGCGGTGGGACCCTCAGGAGGTGGGAGCCCAGGGAAGCCCGCACGGTCTCTGCTTGTTTGCTCGCTTGTTTATTTGTTAACTCTTTAGTTATTAAAAAAACAACTTGGAATTATAGAAAAGTTGCCGGCATCGTGCAATGAACTGCCCTTTTCCTTCACCAGACGCCCCAGTTGTTACTATCACTCCCTGTCCATCTGCTCACGGCCCGCCCTCTGTGGGTACACGTACACCCGATTTACTGCCACCATCACTGCTGCTCCGCTCCTCGGAGAGGCTGACCCTGGGGCTCAGGCCCAGGAGCCGGGTTTCCGGGGCGTTGGCTCGCCCCGTGCTGGTCGGAGGGCGGGCGCGGAGCAGGGGTGAGGCTGGGCCCTGAGCACAGCCCTGCCCCCGCCCGGCCTCCGTACATACCTCCTCAGTCGACCTAGAGCCGCTCAGCGCAGAGAAATGGAAGGTGGAAGCTCTCTGTTCTGGTCTCTGGGGTCCCCTAGGCATTCCTGGGACACTGTGAGGGTCCCTGTGGGCTGTGTCTGCCCCCGCGGTCTGTGTGCATGAGGGGCTGCTAGGGAAACTGGCCTTAGGGGTATTTCTGGGCATGTGGTGCCTGGTGTTCAGGGATCGTGAGCAGACAGCAGACAGCAGAGAAAAGCCGCCCTGTTGAGAGGAGCCGGGCCCGGCAGGTGCCACGTTGGAGCCCAGAGAAACGGTCTCTCTGGGTGCTTCCTTCTGCATCTTTGTCACTTCCAGACACATGCTGGGTCCCAGCCAACCAGACCTGCCCCTGGGCCTCTTGGGCTGCGTGACTCCAGGGGTCCCCGTGCCCAGTGAACAGCTAAATCGGACGGGACTGATGGATTTTCATCCTCCTTAAGAAGGCGCTTGGTCTCTCTGGTTTCCGGCCCCCACGTTGTTGCATTACCCGCACGGCAGGCGGGCGCTGCCTTATGTCCACCCGGGGCCTCTGGCTGCCTCTTTGGCCCATTACCCCCGCCTCTGCCTCCAGGGCTGCACGGCCTCTCCATCTCCCCTGTCCCCACCCACACAGCCCAGCATATTTCCTACTCTGAGACCATTAGCATCCCTGGTGCTGGCTGCTGCTGCTGCTTAATAACCCATTGCGATGGCAGAGGCGTACCCTGGGCCCCTCCGTCAGGCCTCGGGTGGTGGAAGGGACGCGGTGGGCTCAGGGCCATGGTGAGACCCATGGGGAGGCGAGGCCCCGGTCTGCCCTGGAGCACCCCCGAGGTGCCTCGGCTCGGGGTGCTCCGTGCGGTGATGGTGCACGGGCCAGAGGAGCCCAGAGAAGCAGCTGTGAGCGTTTAGCCCGGCAGCCGTGCGCACCCTGGAGGGCTGGCCCCTGCCACACACGCTGTGCTCCGTGCTGAGCGCCGTACAGGACTTGCGGCCGTGCTTGCCTCCAAGCAGCTCAGTCGCAGGGAAAGGCAGGCAGGCAAGGACCAGGGATGCCGTGTCCGTGCTGTGCGCAGGGGGTGCCCCGAGCCGCGGGTGCGAGGGGTCCCAGGCGCCCAGCGCACAGGGCCAGCTCCGCAGCCATCGCGCCTGCCCAGGTGACACAAGGCTGGAATCCAGATGCTGATGTTACTGGTTCCCCTGGTTGTTTCAACTTTTTCCCTGGGCTTTTCTCCCTCTTTTCAGAGGTAAGGGATCCACAAGCTATTCAAAAAGAAGGGGTGGCCCCTACTCTCTCCAGCGGGTGGGAGTGTACATGTGCGTGAAGGAGAGGGATTCCACCCAGCCAGGGTGCGGGGGGACGGCAGGGGGAAAGGAGCCCTCGCCTGGCCTGGGTGGGTGGGGTGGGGGGCGCGGAGGAGGATACAGGGCACCCACAGTGAACCAAACACCGCGCTGGGCGCCCAGGACCACAGTGGCAGCCCACGGGAGACGCAGGGCGTGGGGGGCCCGGTGCCGGGGCTCTGCCTCTGCAGCGGTGGCTCTTACCTGTACTGGGTGACAGCGGGGTTGGCCTTGGCAGAGCAGTGGAAGGTGACAACGTTGTCCTCCAGCACGGGCTGTGGTTCCACGGACAGGTTGACAAGCGGGGGGTCTGCAGGGAGAAGAGAGTCCCTTGTAGTTGGGGAGCTGTGTCCGCAGTTTTGGGAAAGAATGAGACAGGAAGACCCAGGAAGACCGCCTAGGTGACCCAGAGCGTAAAGGCCAGAGGTTCCACTGCCCGTGCTGCTGGGGTCCCTCAGAGCAGCCACCGCCCCACTGATCCCCAGAAAGCGGGGGGGGGGGGGCTTCAGCAGGGGCTCCCCCGCTTCCTGGAGATGCCTGCTTCAGGCAGCCTTGGTGTGGGTGGGGTCAGGGCTCCCGCTGTGGGTTCAAAGCCTGGCGTTTAAAGGACAGCCAGCCACAGCAGGGCTGCCCGGCCCGGGGCCACGCTGCCCCTCTTCCGGCTTTTAGAGGGAACAGAGCACTTCAGAAAGGAGGAGGGGGTGGTGCAAGGGGCACTGGGGGAGCGTGGGCACTGAGGCCCATTTACATACAAACTGTCATCTTTGGAAACGTCTGTCTCTTATCTCTGTGCAAAGGTTCTGGTGCATCCTTTAACTTGAAAGTGGCATTTACACCCTTTCATCAGCCTAATCGTCTCCTGTGCATTCCGACTGGTGTCGCCCAACCCTCGGCTCCCGGCCGTGCGTCTTTCTCCTTCAACAGGACGAGAAGCTCTAAAGTGCTAAACGGTGGGAGGTGGAGGAGACAAGGGATTGAGAGAGGGCAGGTGGGAGGGAGGCAGGGGACAGAGACAGGCAGATGCGCAGAGAGGTCTGTAGAGCAAGGATGGGAGGCTGGCAGAGGGACATTTAGCGGGGAGGGAGATGTGGAGAGGAGAGGAGGAGAGAGGAAGAGGGAGAAGTGCAGAGGAAGAAAAAGCCCAGAGAAACACTGAGCAGCAGAGAGACCGAGGGAGACACTGGGACAGACCGACATACACCGAGAAACATGATCAGAGATTTCAGACTGAACGCGAAGAGATGAAGGGAGACCAAGCGGACAGAAACAGAAAATGACAGAAGCCTGGGAGGAGGACCAGACAGAGGGAGGAGGGACAGGGGAGAGAGGCAGGGCGAAGGAGGCACTGAGAGGTACAGAGACGGACGTAGGGATGGGGGCAGGTGGGGGGACTCCGCAGCAGAGAGGCAGAGAGGTGGGAGCTGTCGGGGGACGGCGCAGAGGCAGGCGGCCCCCGGAGCTCAGAGGAGCTGGCCCGGGACCTTTTCCCAAAGCCGGTGCCACCTGTGCTCCTGGACGCACCCCTGGCCCCAGGCCTTGGTGCCGCCGTAGTCCACACGCCAGGGCGGGGCAAGAACAGCCAGTGCCCACTCTCCTTCTGTCACAGTGTGGCGGTCGGGCTGGAGTTCAACCCTCGGTGAGCTCAGCGGGCAACGTGGCCCCGTGGCCTGGCCGGGCCCCAGCAGCCTCTCCGGGCTGGTTCTCACCGATAAGCAAAGTCCTGGAAGGTGTGGGCTCTTCCTAGAGGTGCGGCCCATTTTCAGAAAAAGCAGTAAAGAAGTCAGTTGCTGAGGGACCATCGAGAAACACTGCTGACCCCTCTGGGTGCACATGAAGGTCCCCGGGGGGAGCAGGGCTCGAGCCTGCCTGGCCTGGGTCCTGCTTGAAGTGGCCGGTGTGGTCCCGCGCCCCTCCCGGGGTCATGGCGCAGCTCCCCAGCCGCAGGCCCCAGCCGAGCTCCCCAGAGCGGGTGTCGTCTGACCGCTTGGCCCCCCTGCCCTGCTGGTGCTCAAGCCGGCCAGGCCTCCCAGCCCGGTGCTGGGCCCATGGGCAGGGCCGCGCAGGTTTCTGCAGGCAGCTTGTTAAGTAAGACACGAGCTCCTGAGCAGCAGGTGGCCAACTGTGTGGGGCACCTGCTTGCCCGCTTTCTCCCCCTGTTCCTGACGGGAGCGCAGTCCTTGGAGCCCCCGCCCCTGGAGCGCCGGCTTGCCTGCCTCTGCCGGCGGCCTTCCCAGGGCAGTCCCATGTAGTCGAATGCTCTCCATCTTACTGTTTAAGGCGCAGTTCAAGTTGTCACAAAGATGTGTGTGCATGTCATGGGCTAGCCAAGAGAGCGCTCCTTCCACCTCCCTGGAGACCTACGACCCCAGGACCCTGCAGCCACTTCCGGCTGCTGCCGTCAGGGGAGTGGCCCCGACCCCCAGCGCCCAGCCCAGGGCCACCAGCTTCCAGGCCCCGGTGAATCAGGAGCCCCAGCCCTCTTTCCTTGCAGGGCTAGCCAGCCAATCTGGGCACCCTGGGCATGACGGTGCCACCCCCAGACGCACAGCAACCCGGGGGGAGCTTGCATCTCACTGAGGGTTGCAGAAGCGCGTTCTGCGGTACAGGCGTTTGATAATTGCTGTGGGGGCCCGATGCGGGGCTGGCTGCCATCCTCGCATTATAAAGTCCACACTAGGAGGCGGGGCGGAGGGCCTCCATCTGTCCCACTCTTGTTTGAGGAGGTGGCGGTGCCAGTTTGACAGACTCAAGAAACCCAGCGCAGAAATTGGGGGATGGGGGCAGCTCTGGGAGGCCCATCCCCACCTGTGTATCCTTTGTCAAATGACGGGTCTTGGGGGCCAGGGGATGGAGCACATGTCTCTGGGGGCCTTCTTCCTTCCTGAGCCCCTCCTCCACCACATACCTGTCACTCTCTGTCCTGTGGAGAGAGTCTCCTGCAGCTTCCCGCCTCCCAGCGATATCCTCAACGCCTGGCCTTCCCCACGGGGCTCAGGGAAGGGCCCTCAGGAAGCAAGAATTCACGCTCTCCACCTTCTCTGAGCCTCCACGCCGGGCCCGCGGGCCCCCGTGTCCCCGTCTCCAGCCCTCTCCCCTGGATGTGAGGATATGAATTTTCAGGAGCCTACCTGGCTCCAGAGGCATAAATAGTTTATGTCACATCCAACTATTAAACATGATTTTAATCCCACTTGTGATGTCGGCTGCCTAGCTTGCAGAGGGCAGCTTTGATATAGCTGGTGGAACTGAGGCCACATCGAACAGATGTTGCAGCTGAGAGTCCGTCAGTGTTTCTAGCAGCGACGCGGGCGCGTGCGTGTGTTCAGGCGAAGTACTACACGGGGGAGGGGGTGTGAAAAGGGAGAAATTCCATGACTTAGTGATTTTATAACACATCCATTTGCGACTTGGCAGCTGGATGCAGAGTCCAGATGTGGTGAGATTTCGGGGGTGTTCAGCGCTCTCTCCCATTACTCAATCTGGGGATTTTGTCTTCCGTTGGGTAACATATAAAGACCAAGGGAAACAAACAACAAACGTGCTTTCACTGAGTGTGGATGCTTCTTGGTTGATGGAGAAAAAGAGCAGGTTTGCAGAGGCAGCTCTGACCCAGGCCATGGCGTCCACAGGGAGCCGCTGGACACCCGCTGAGTGAACAAGGGAATAAATGGAGGAGGAAGGAACAGGGATGGTGCGGGCCGAGAGGGCCTGTGCTTTTGCTTGGCGCACACCTACGAAATGGCTTTCGGGAGGACAGATGGATGGAGGCCTCTCCCCTGTTGGGGCTGTGGGGGGCCCTGGAAGCGGGGCGGCCCCGCACCCCTGACTGTGCATCGGTACAGCGGCTGACAGGTGCGAGGGGCTCACCCCGTGCCAGGCCCTGCGCTGGGGGTATCACCTGAGTGATTCAGGGTGACCTCAGAGTGGTACAGAGGGAAGCATTGTTACTTCTGTATACAGATGAGGAAACTGAGGCACAGAGGGGTTAAATAACCGGGGCAACCTTGGCAGAGCCATGCCCAAACCCAGAAGAAGGCTGTGGCCTTCATCACGACCCTGCCCGGCCCCGCATGGGGCCGGCCCGTGGCACCAGGCCCGGCCTGACCTCATTCCCGACGCCTCCCTCCTTGCGGGGCTGAGACGTCCTTGGGAAGAAGGGCAGCCGGCACCCAGAGACCTGGCGACGCTGGCGCCCGCCCCGACACAGGCTGTCATCTGCCTGCTCCGGTGAATCGATCATCTCATTAGAGTGCACTTAGAGCGATGGCTTCCAATAGGTGGTGGGCTGTTGTGTGGCAACGACTTTCTGGTTGACGGGAGAGCGTCCCCGGGTGGGACGGGCAATGGCCTGGGCCCGAAACACTGCTGCTCCCGGGCCGCTGCTGCGGGAGCCCAGCGGGCGGTTTCTCCCATGCGGGATTCATGGCCGGCACAGGCCTCCTGACCAGCCTGGGCGCTGGAGGGGAGAGGTGGGGCAGTGGCGCAGTGGCCACAGCGGCAGCTGGGCCGTCGGGGGCTTGGATGTCTTGAGCCTCCCACCCTTGTTCCTCCCAGATTTGGCTTCTGTCTGCAGGGAGCTCTGATTTGTGGTCAATCTTGGGGCAAGAAGGGACCTCGGATGTCATCAGTGCAATCAGACAAGGAGCTGGAGTCCCCGGGGTGGAGCCACACGCTCAGGCATGCGCTGGTCAGGGGCGGCCGGGCCCTTCTGGACACTGGGCCCCCGGGTGCACAGCACTTGGCTTCTCCACAGCTGGGCCTACTGCTCTGGGCCTCGCTCCCTCCCGGAAGAGCGGGTGGGTTGGGGGAGCCAGGAGCTGGCCTGGGGCCTGGGGAGGGGGGAGGCTCCCTCTCAGGGTGACCCTTGAAACTACAGGACCCTCCCTCCTCTCACCCTGGTTCTAGGCCTGGCAAGCGTCCTGTTGTTCTTGGCTCTCACTGAGTGAGGAATTTAAGAAAGCCCTCTGCTTGGCATGATGAAGACACAGAAGACAAAGCTTCTCCAGGAACTCAGCGGCCATGTCTGGTATCCACAGCGAGCCCATCGGAAACCAGCCATTTCTTCTGCCCTCTGGAATGTCAATGGCGTCTGCAAGGACTCAGACACCGCGTGGGAACGTCTGCTCGCAGGCGCCCAAGGCGGGTTCAAAAAACCCTAGGACACAGGTTTTTGGAGAGCCAGAATCCAGAAGCCTTAGATGAGCCAGGGCTGTTGGAAAGAGTTTTCCAACGAATTTGACTTAAAATGAATAGAATGATAAGGAGGAAATGAACGTCAGCTGGCAGCCCCAGCCTTGCTATTCAGAGCCTAGGCCCCAAGTGGCCAGTATCACATGAGGCATCAGGCTCCCGGGCAGAGAGGGGGTGTCAGAGAAGAGCAGTTGATTTTGAGTGCTGACAGGTTTAAACCTAACCTGGTCCAGCACTGAGAACAAAGCCACCGGAGCACCTTGCTGAGCCCTTCTCTGTTCTCGGGGACTGACAGGCGCTTTAGGGGACCTTTAGGAGTTTCTGTTCGGTGACTTCTGGGACACGATGTTGGCATAGCTTTGAAGCACGATTGTTGTTAACATTAGTTGTAATAACAAACATTTGCTGGGGGCTCACCGTTTAGAAGCACGGAAGAGGGTTACCGGCACGGACTCTGCCTACACCCGAAACTTATGTGGCCTTGGACAAGCCAGCGAGCCTTCGGGGACCTCGGTTTCCCCTGGCAGAGGCCGCAGTCATTCTTACTCCAAATGGTCGTTGTACAGATTAAATGAGATAATACATGCAAAGTACGGACTGACTCTTCTTTCTCGTCTCTCCCGGACTGACTCTTGCAGGGGCAGGGGTGGGGTGGGGGTCGTCACAGACCCTCCAGAGGAGGCGACGCTACTCTCCTCTCAAGCCCTGACAGCCCCCTTCAGCTTCCAGCATCTCTGCTGTGGCTTCCCCTCCAAGGGACTGTGTGGGGTCACCTGGTGAGGCCCCCGGGGCCAGGGGCTGACCAGGGTATGTACTGATGTGGAAGTTCTGCTTTACATAGGTGTAGAAAAGAGGCTTAAACGTGTCTTTTGCCCAAGACCCTCATCTGAGATGTTTTTACTTCATGTGACAGTAAGGACAAGCTGGCTCTTGAGGTGCCCGCAAATACAAACGTGGCCAGTCCACAGAGCTGACGGACCCAGTTCCTGCTTCAGATGCCCTGTGAGAGGGAGCCCAAGGGGACAGGGGTGAGCCCTGGGGAGCTGGTCAGCCGGGCGAATCCCTCCCAATGCCCGCGCTGCTGGCAGTGGTGCCGGTGGCATCCGCCCTGGCCCAGGCCCGGCCGATACTCACGCTGGATGTCGATGGTGACCGAGGTCTCCTTCCCTCCGGGGATGGCTTTGTTGGTGGCCCGGCACACAATGCTCTGCCCGTTCTCCACGTCTCCGGGGGAGATGAAGAGGGTGCTCACGATGCTCTCACGCTTGCCATCCCGAAGCAGGGTCTGGGGGTGGGGTAGGGAGAGAAGGCCCCGTGTGACTCGCTGGGATGGCCCGGGCAGCTACAGGAAGAGGGAGCCCTGTGCAGGGGGGCGGGGCAGCTGAGGACCCCAGGGCGCCCGCCTCCGCACAGAGCTGGGGTTACCCTCCGCTCCCCCGTCTGGCTGAGTGCTGGGCTGCAGAAGAAATAAAAGGGAAACTTCCCATCGTGCGTGAAAATCAGGGTGGACTTGCCGACCCCACGTTATAAAGGAAACCAGGCTGCCGGTGCTACGGATTGTAGTAACCTCCAACTATCTGCCTTTTGTTTCTGGAGGTGGGGCACCGGGTCTGCACGAAGCTCTGAGATGTGTGTGACAGGCAGTGACCACTCCGGCAGGCGGGGGTGCGGCCCCGGGGCATGGGGCTGAGGGCGGGGCTGAGGGCAGGGCTGGGGGTGGGGAGGCGGGCAGATTCAACGCACCCGCACTGTTTTTGTTACTTGTTCTGTATAAATCCTTTCAACTTTTCAGATCATTTCACTCCCTGACCTCATGGAGCCCTGACCAAGTTATCAGCAGAACATGCCATTATCTTCCATGTGACAGGTGAGCAAACAGGTCAGACCAAGAGAGGCCATAGAGCTTGACCAAACTTACACCTTGAGGTGGAGCTGAAATAAGTAAGAGGGTCCTGTAATGGGCCCCGGCCCTTAAATTCATGTCCCTCTGGAGCCTCAGCATGGGACCTTGTTTGGAAATAGGGCCCTCACACATTAGTGAAGAAATTAGTAATTAGTTGAGAATCTGGAGACAAGGTCATCCTGGATTTGGCCTCAGCCTTAAATCCAATGACTGGTGTCCTTCCAAGAAGAGGAGACACAGCGAGAGACACATAAGAAGGAGGAGGCGGAGACTGGAGTGATGCCGCCACAAGCCGAGGCATGCTGGGAGTGGCGGGAGGGGCCGGGAGAGGCCAGGGGGCGTCTTCTCTGCAGCCTTTGGAAAGAGCCGGGCCCCGCGAAAACCCTGAGTTGCAGGCTTTTGGCTTCCACACCAGTGAGACAATGCGTCCTGCTCTTTTAAGCCCCAGGTGCAGCATGTTGTTAGGGGAGCCGAGGAAACTCATACAGGCCCTAAGGCCTTTGGCCCCCCCATCTGCCATCCCCTGTTCCCACAGGGCCATGAGGTCATTCTGCAGCTACCTCCGCCATTGTTGCTACCCTCCGTCCCTTGCCCCCCTTTTTAGTTCCCTCCCCATCAGTTCGGTGCCCTGGCAGCTGAGCCCACTGGTGACCCGTGAAGGAGGATGCGTGCTGGGGCGGTGAGCTGGGCGGGAGGGCCTCCCGAGGTGGGACTGCTCAGTCCTCGGAGACTGCTGATTCTGGAGAGGAACTTCACTCCTCCCAGAAACCGGGTGCGAGGCACAGTCTCATTTTGCCAGGATTAGAGCCAGGGAACAGAATAATAGTCTTTACTTCCTCAGAACCTCCCTTAAAATAACAACGGCACTGTCTCTAATCTTACCAGAGCCTGGAAGGAAGGGAGCATTATCTCTATTTTGCAGAAGAGAAAACTGAGTTCAAAGTGAGCCAGGAACTTGCCAGGCAGGCCTGGGATTTGCTCTTGAGAATGGTGACCGTCAGCCATGGCCCTCCCACCTCAGTTCCCTGAGAACCAGGAGGAGGTTAGTGTGACCTTCACTTAAAGGTGTAACAGTGAGAACCACTGTGTAGCCTCCAAGGGCACTGAGCCGTGAGCGGCACGGAGGCTACTGGGACTGCTCTCGGGGTCCGCAGGTCAGTCTGGTCCTTTGAGCTGGGGCGTAGCTTGTGGCCTCCAGCACCGGACCATGACCCGAGCCTCAGTCTAGATCGGCACATCCTGCGGGGACAAAGCCAGACTCTGAGATGCTAGAGAGGGCCACGGAGCCAGGCTGCTGTCCACACTGTTCCTTCTGGACGTCTGAAAACTGCCCGGGCCATGGCAGGTGCTGGTGGCTCGAGGCCTCATGGCACATCTTTCCCTGGGACATGATGAGGTGGTGGTGGCCTTAGCTCTGGGCAGAGGGGCCCTCAGAGAGGAGTCTGGGGGACGGGAATGTGGCCAGTCCGAGCCAGCCTGGGGCTGTCCGGGCAGCGACAGGGGCTGGGGCGGGGGGGCAGGGCGCAGAACTGGAGGGAGACCAGGACAAGGACCTGCACAGGGGCTTGCGAGTGACAGGCGCAGAGGCTCAGCCCCCAGCCACGACTGATGGTAGCCTGCTGGCTGGGGCTCTGCTTCGGACCGCCCGCGCCTATAAATAGCCAGGCGAAAATAAGAACAATTTCCTGGATGAAAATAAGACCTGGGGTGGGTATGTCTACGTAGAGGGGAGAAGTGGGGAGGGAGGTCAGTACTATTCCCCTGCCCTTTTCTTTACTTTTCCATTGTGCTAACAAGGGGTATGCGCATACGTTTGACTCCGCGGGGAGCCCCTCTGCTCTTTGCGGGGGAGGGCAGGGCCATCTGGGCACCGGTGGGCGAGGAGCCGGGAGGCCTGCGCTCCTAATTAGGCCTCTGGATTGCCTCCCCCCTGCCCCCCTCCAACCCAGACCGCTTCTCTGCTTCAGAACGATGATTAATGACATATTTACTGTGTCAGGGCGTGTGCTTTTCTGGGAAATAAAAATTCTGGTTCAAGTTGTTTGTTCCACCTAATTAGAGAGAAGGGAGATATGTTCATTAAACCGGGGGAGAGCGAGGGAGGCAGGCTCTGGGCGTGGCTCCCAGCTCTGGGGGTCCCCAGGGAGAGCGTGGGGCCGGCGGGATGGCGCGGCTGCCCCAGTCCAGCCTCCAGGCTCATCCCGGCCCTGTCTCCTCTCCTCTTTCCTTCTTAATCTTCTCACCTCCCCTTCCTGCTTTCTCTTTCCCTTCCTTCCTCTCTTACACATCCCGGCTTTACTCATATGCAAATGCAGCCTTGCTCTGTGTGGCCTCGGAGGGACCGGGCAGGTCGAGCGTCCTGCCAGTTGCTGATTCTCATCGCAGCCCCACTTCGCCTTCCCCTCCAGCTCCTTCCCTTCACTGAACTTGGCTCTAGGGACACACTGTGGGCCCCAGCCCCCCACCTCCTGTTTCAGAAACCTTCGTTAGTATGCAAATCAGCTCATCCAGTGAATTATTAATGGTGGGTCTTTCCTTTCAGGGGCCACCACTTCCAAGGCCTGGGGCAGCACTCCCTTTGGCTTGGTGGCACTGGCGAGCTGCCAGACCCCAGCCCAGGCCACCCCACCCCCAGCCCCCGTGGCCCTGCCGGCAGCCCTTGTGGGCCCAGTAGGACCCAGCCCATCTGTGTGTGCGGGTAGGGACTGGGGCGGGGCGTACACACGGCACACGCACAGGGGTGAGCATGCCAGAGCCGCGGCCTTCACGGGTGGGCTTCCTCCCCCTGCCTGCCTCCAAGGAGCTTTCGGGCTGCCCCGGAGGCTGCCTGGGCACTGCTTCCTGTCTGTGCCCCACTGCCCCACCCGCGAGGGCAGGCACTCAGCACTCAGTGGGCAGTGGCCCTGGAGGCTGGGCAGCCCAGACAGAATGCACCCTGTGTGGGGCTGCCCGGTGCAGGCAGCATGGGCCCCTGTGCTCTTCCCACGCACAGCGCACAGCGCCTGGGCCTCAGCTGGGCAGTGGAGAGCCAGGCTGAGCCCAAGACGTGGGAGGCCTGGCGACGCCTGCCTGGGGTCCCCAGGTGATGAGCACTGAGGTTTGGAGTGAATGCACTGGGTGGGGCCCCAACTCCTGTGCTAAATAGGGGGTGCTCACGGATATGCAAATAGCCCCTGGAGGCCTCGAGTGAGACCTAATTGCCTGGCAACAAGGCCTTCTTTCCTCCCTCCTTCCCTTTCCACTCACCTCCCCTGCGGGCTGTCTTTTCTTTTTTTTTTAAATCCTCTCTCTGCCTCCCCTTGTTACAGCTGCCTGGGGAATCCACGAGGGCTGGTGGTCACCTCGTTGCTTGAACAGGGATGTGAGGGAAGGTGAGCCCGGCACAGGGGTTTGCCCCGACCCTGCATCTGCAGGGACCTCACTCTTGTGCCCTGGGGCCCCGAGAGGTGCCCGGCACAGGGAAGGCCAGGGCGGGTGGCTGCTGCTGCACGGGTGGGGACTCCAGGCCCCTGAGACAGGCGGACGGGATGCTGGGCTGACTGGTGGGGAGAGGAGCTGGGCCCCTGTGTGGCGGGCGGGGGTGGTTGTTAATCCAGGGCTCCCCATAGCAGGGGCCCAGTGAGACCGGTGGTCCTGGCGGTGGGCGGGCCCTTGCACGGGCAGCTGGAGGAAGCAGGGAGGCAGGGCTAGATGGCAAGGGGCTTCGCAGTAGATACACACACGACGGTGCGAAGACCCAGTGCCTCCCAGGGTCAAGGCCTCATGCTGGTACCTGGCAGCTGCGTGCAAAGCAGCAGGGGTGCAGGCCCCTGGCTCTCCGGGAAGATTCCTCTCCCGGCTCAGCCCAAACAGCCTTCCTTCTTCTCCCACAGCCTGTCCTGCCTTCCCTGGTTTGTGTGTGATTCTGGTGCCAGGCCCAGAGAAGGTGGCCCAGGCCTGGGTGTTCAAGAGGAGGACTTGGAGAGAGGCCTTGCACTTGGCTCCCCGGGCTCCAGTGCTTCTGCACCCAGACACCCACTGAGAGCCCTGGGTGCTCACCGTGGCGCCCAGGCCCGGTGCTCAGGAGGCTGTGTGATGAAGGTGAGACACCACCAGCCTGTGCCTGGGGATCCTCCCCCCTAGTAAAGGGGGCTTGGTCCTCCTCAGCGATGCCATCCTCAGTCCTACCAGCTCTTCTGCCCCCTTCTGGCCACGTGGTGAAATAGCAGGAAGAATGTCCCTGAAACCAGGGCTGCTGTGTGGCCTCCGGGGGAGGCAGGGCCGTGGGAGGAGGGACACAGTCGCACTAGCTGGCTTTTGTGAAGCCCTGACCCTGTGCCGGGCCCTTTACCAAGCACTTTCCCTGCGTGATTCCCTTTAAGTCTCCCAGCAGCCTTTACAGGTGCCTACGGTTATCACCGCGCCATTTTGCAGCTGGGGAAACTGAGGCAGAGAGCCTCCGTTACCATAAGTGGGATGGAATGCGAGTTGAACGCAGGTGTTAGGACCACAAGGCCTGCTCTCTACAACTCTGACATTCTCACCTAGGAAATGTGGGGGGTGGGGGGTGGGCCTTGCCGCTTGTGAGGATCAAGGGAGGGTCAGGCAGTGACCCTAACAGCCATGCTGTTGTGAGCTCACCCTGCCACGCAAGCCTCACAACCCTCCATTGAGGCAGGTGCTGTGGTTGTTCCCGGGGTATAGATGGGGATACCGAGGCACACAAGGCGAGGCAGCTGGCCCACGGTCGCAGAGCTGGAAGGTGGCAAAGCCTGGCTTTGCTGGAGGCTGCCCAGCTCCCAGGCCTGCTGGCCAACCACCCACCCACCATGTGGCAGTGCTGAAGGCTTCAGATGGAGCAGCGAGGGATGCCCCACAGGGTCTTCTCCCAGGAATTGGGCCCCCAACTGTGTGCGGGCGCGTGCTCTCTCAGCCTCTTTCTCCGGATCAATCGCTCATGTCTGGGCCCTCCTCACGCATGGCGCGTGGGGGCGGCTCTGCCTTTGGGACCTCAGAGATGCCTGTGTGAATGGTCCCTAAGTCCTAGGGAGCCCGGGGGCAGCTGGGGGCCATGATAGTCCTGCTGGACCATCCCTCTTTCTCCATGGGCTCCAGGTTACAAGTTCAGAGCTTGTCAGAGCTGGTTCTGGCTGGATTGTGTCCGGTTCAGAATTCATATGGGGAAGCCCTGATTCCTCAGCATGAGTATACGTGGAGATCGGGTCTCTAAGGAGGTAGGTAAGGTTAAATGAGGTCATAAGCTGGGGCCCTAACCCAATAGGATTGGTGCCCTTAGGAAGTTGGTGCCAGAGGTCTCTCTCTGGTGCACAGAGAGAGAGAAGGCCACATGAGGACACAGCAAGGAGGTGCCACCTGCAAGCCAGGGAGCCAGGTCTCACCAGAAACCAGCCCTGCCGGCACCTTGACCTCAGACTTGCAGCCTCCAGAACTGTGAGGAAACACGTGCCTGTCGTTGAATCCACCAGTGTGTGGGTTGTTTGGCAGCCCTTGCCTACTAACACAGAGCTTCTGATCAAACTTCTTTGTTTTACTGACGAGGAAGCGGAGGCCCAGGCATGACCTTCCGGGGTTACGCAGTACTGGGACTGGAGACCAGGCCCCTGGCTAGCGGCCCAGGGCGGCTGTTCCTGCCACCGGCAGGTAGGGGCGTGAACAGGGCTGGGTGAGCAGAGGGTGGGGCACAGCTTTCTGCTCCAGTTTGCGGTAGCCCGGTGCAAGGCGAGGGGACGAGGTAGTCCCCACCCAGGACCAGCAAGGGGACTCTGACCTTGCTCTTCACCAGCTGAGGGCATGCGCCCTGCAGGACATGTGCCTTGGCATGGGCCAGGTGGGCCCAGCCTCGGAGAGGGACTGCACAGATGCCCAGACTGGAAGGAACACCCCCTCCTTCCTTTTCACCCTCAGCTGTGGACACATCAGGCGTCTCCTGCCCAGGACGGGAGCCAGGGGCGTGTCTCTCCCCAGGCAGCTTCCCGGTGAAAGGACTCGCGTGAGGAAAGGCTTTTGTTCTGGGTTCCAGCACCGGGCTCTCAGTGGGGGCTTTGATCACCAGCCCTGGGATTGACCCCTTGAGAGGGTGGGGGTCAGCTTTGGACAGGAAGGACACAGCCTCAAAGCGGGGACAGGGCACCTCACACCCTCCCCTGAGGGCAAAGGCTTTGCTTATCCTCCTAAGGAGCTTGAGAGAAGCGCTGGGGTGGGTTGGGGTGGGGAGCGGGTGGTATGAGGAGAGGCCTGAGGGGAGGAGAGAGCAGGGTGCTGAAGGCCTGAACCTCTGGCTTCAGGGCCTGGGGGTGTGGCCTGCCCTGGCCCTGGTGCAGTCTCGGAGCAGCTTCCCACCTGCCTGAGGCCAGAGAGACTCACGGGAAGGAGGCCAGGGTTTCTGTCCCCTTGTCAGCTGAGCAGGGCAGCCCTACCCCTATCAGGCCGCGGTAAATCAGGCCGTCCCTCCTTCCAGGTCCCCCTCCTCTTTCGAGGCTCTATGGTCCAAAGCCCTGTCTGCACCTCTATTCACAGTCTCCTTGAGTGGCGTGTGCTGGGCGCTGTCTTAAAGTGTACCTGGGGTTCTGTTTTTATCCGGTAGGGTGAGGCCCATTGGTCATGAGTTGACTTGACTGCCATCAAAAGGCGGTTTGGTACTCACAGCACCCAAAGGTGGGGACCCCACGCGTGGCCCCAGGGCCTGTCAGGAGGCCGAGGGAGCAGGGGAGAAAACCAGAGCCTGCACCTTAGCTGTGGTTTTCCTGAGGGCCGTGGGCTGGGTAAGCATCTGAACAGGTCCTGTGGGCTAGCTAGCTGGAGTAGCTCCTGCAGCTCCAAGACCGGGGAGGGGGTGGAGGGGGGTGGGAGGGTGCTGGGGGTTAGTTACCCAGCACCTGGTCAGGCTCTTACAGGGCAGGAGCCTCAGGGGAGGGGAGGGGAGAAGTAGCTCTCCATTGTTTGGCTTGCATATCAAAGGTGCGTTCTCAGCAAGTCGCACAGGCTAACCCACAGGAAGGGCAGTCCTTCCTCACAGGAAGGCTTAGAGATGTTGAAGCCTCATAAACTATAGAAAATAAACAACATGGGTCATACAGGAGTTAGTTCAGGGCACTTGCAGCTGATGGCACTTTGCGCGAATTAGGAAACAGCGCCCCCCATAGGCAGGTGGAGCGGGATGCTGATCCTGGGGCAGGTTTCAGGCCTCCCTGCGCAGGGATGCACCTGAGTGGTCTTACCTGGGCAGCCTGGAGAAGGTGGCCAGACTTAGCAAATAGAAATATGGGGCTCCCAGCTAAACCTGAACTTCAGAGAAACCGTGGATAATTTTTTTAATGTAAGCAGGACCCAGAAGTGTGCAACATGCACTATTTGGGACATACTTATACTGAAAGATTATTTGTTGTTTACCTGAAATTCAGATGTAACTGTACATCCTGTATTTTATTTTATTTTATTTATTTTATTTATTCTATTATGTTTTATTTTTAGAGAGAGGAGGAAGGAGGGAGAAAGAGAGGGAGAGAAGCATCGATATAAACATTGATCAGTTGCCTCTGGCATGAGCCCTGACCAACAATCCAACCTGGAACCCAGGCATGTGCCCTGACCAGGAATCGAACCGGTGACCTCTCACTCTGTGGGACGACGCCCACACCGAGCCACACTGGTCCGGGTGGGCATCCCACATTTTATCTGGCAACCCTGGGCCTGGCCACTTCTGTCCTCAGTGTCCTCCTCTGACACAATTACCCCAGGAAAGAGAAAGAGGAAGAGAGACAGCTACACAGTCGAAAGAGAGAAAGAGACAGAGACAGGGAGACAGAGATAGAGGCAGAGACAAAGATGGAGAAACAGGAGCGACAGAAAGGATGCAGAGAGAGCAAGGGCTGCAGAAGTGGGCAGAGCGAGACTCCTCCCACGCAGTCCCCGCCCCTCCTCTGCCCACCTGTCCTGTCCCCGGGCCTCACCTTGGAGTAGGTGGCCCCGTTGATGACCTCTCCCTTCCGCAACCAGATGATGGAAGCCGCAGGCTTGGCGTTGTCTGCGTGGCAGGTGAGGTTGAGGGGGTCCCCTGCCCGCAGGCTGATCACGGGCCCCCCCAGGATGACGGGGTCATCGGGTGGCACTGTGGGGAGAGGAGGAGAGAGGTCACACTGAGGGAAACCGGCTCCTCCAGCCAGGCAGGCCGGCTGAGCTGGCAGACTTGAGGGAGCTGATGACGATAATTACCACACTGTCATAAAACGTATAATCCCCTTATAGTGTAATAATAATAACAGCAACAATCCTGGACAGGTGCATTGCATGTTTCTTTGCAGAGGACGTTCTTATCACCGTCTCTTCCTCTGCTCATGATGAACTTGTGAGGGGACGGGGCAGGCGTCATTGACCTTGTTCCCAGGGGCAGGGGCGAAGCTCCGCTGCCTAGAGAATAGCCATAGTTTCTTTCCTTTTAACCTCTTTTCAGTTTTTTAAACACAGCACTGTCCCGTCTGTCGCCTGATTGGATCATTACAACGCCCTTGATGGATAAGCATTATTATCATCCCAACCGCACACATCCAGACATTGAGGCTCAGCGCGGGGTTCAGTGACTTGCTCAAGGCCACACGGCCGGGGAGCAGCAGCGCCAGGGCCGGAAGCCAGGTCCCTCTCCTCTGGGAGGGGGCAGGGGGCAGGCGGCTTTGCAAGCCTGGGAGGACCCTGTGACCCCTGGCGGTGCCTCAGCATTTATTCTTCCAGACCCATCCTCGCTCCCGCTCCCCGGGGTGGCAGTGGCTCTTCCTGCCTGGCACGGTGGTGCCCGGAGGACAGGGCCATCTCCCCCAGCATCCTGCGCAGAGCCTGGCGCCTGGGGCAAGGCCTGTAAATGTTCGCTTGTGCCAGTGGAGCCGCCCCTTTCATCCCACAATGACAGTGGGCTGCAGGGTAAGCATTTGGAGAAGAGGCCCAGAGAAGTTAAGGGAACGACCAAGGTCACAGAGCCTCTTCCAGTGCTGGGCTTGTGGACACGCGGGAGGCACCAGCCTCCGATGCTGCCTGGCCTCCTGGACAACCGCACAGACCCCACCCTACGGACCACCTGAAAGTTGCTGCTCTTCCTCCCCCAGGGAGGGGCTGGGCCGGACCCTTCTGGAGGCTTGGGAAGGGCTGACGGCATGTTTGCCAGTGAACGATCAAAGAGTAACTGAATGACAAGCTAGGGCTCTAGAACAGAGGACCCAGTGGCTAGAGAAAGCCCATCCTTCCCCTCAGGCCCTGTGCAAGCTTCGGTGCTGCGGGCTGGGGGCAGATGGCTGTGGCAGCTCCAGGCAGCTCCGGGCCCCCCACCTAGCCTGCTCTGGGCGGGAGCACCTCCTTTGGCCTGTGGCCCTGCCCCTCCCTTCCTGCCTTGAGAAGGCCCGGGTCAACCACAGCCCAGGGAGTGCCAGCCCCCAAGTTTCTATTTTCTGAGGGAAAGCAAAGCCTCAGGGCTCCCGAGACTCCCTCCCCAGGCCCCAGACTCCGCCCAGGACCCTGGCCCAGAGAGGAAATCTGCCTCATCCAACCCAGCCCCGACCCCGGGGGGCCCTGGGCGCAGACGGCTGGTGGGTGTGGGCTGGACAGTCGACACCACCCTGCCCACCACTTACCCCCTCATTAGTGCCTGAGGTGCGGGTTCAGCCTGAGAGCAAAGGGAGGCTAATGAAGGCTTTCCATAAACGGAGGTGGGCATTACATTTGCTGCGGAGGGGACTTTATCTCCGCGGGATGGGCGGCCCCTTCCAGCAGGGAGGGCTGGGGTTGGGTCTCCTGTCCCCTTCCTTTTGTGGGGACAGCCATCTCCCCATGGGGCGTCCGGGGCGGAGGCACCCCAGCTGAGCTAGCTGAGGGCCAGGAAAATCAGAAAGAACCATGCGGAGCTTTAGGAATAGAAGAAATAAGCCCAGCGGTGTGGTATGGTGGGCTGTGCCCTCTGTCAGGGGGTGAAGCCATGAAGGCAGTCCTTTCTTCCTCTTCTATTTCCTCTGATATAAAATGTCAAAGTTCAACAGGGGACCTGGAAAGTTCTCTCCAGCATGGACATGCGTTGGCTCCGAGGTAGCGGTTTTTAACCCTGGCTGCATGTTAGAATCTGGGAGAAGTTTTTAAAATTGGGGCCACACACTGACCAACTAAACTCAATTTCTGGAGATGGACCCCAAGCAGCAGGAGGTTTATTTAAAAGAGAGAGGAAGAGGGGAAGGAAGAGAGAGTGAGAGGGAAACATCAGTTTGTTGCTCTGCTCTTTTATGCATTCATTGGTTGCTTCTTATATGTGCCCTGACAAGGGACTGAACCTGGGTCCTTGGCATAATCTGTACGACACTCTAACTCACTGAGTTGCCCAGCCAGAGCCAAGCACCAGGAGCTTTTAAAGCTCCCAGAGGATTCCAATATGGGGCCAAGTTTATGAAGCAACTGTTTCTGGGCCTTTGTGCAGGCTCCTAACTCCCGTGATCACAGCGTGGAGATGGAGGAGGCCTTTCCCAAAGCCAAGGGTGGGGAGGGGTGCATCCCCGTCCCTCCAGCTCCTGCAACGCTGTGCTGGGAACATGGGATTAAGGAGCTGGGAACACGGGATTAAGGGCGTGAAGACGAGGGGAGAGGGCTGTCGGACTGCGCTGTGTCAGGACTCAGGCGCACGCACGCTCATGCACACACTCAGGCACACACGCACACACTCAGGCACACACACAAACCTCCACTTGCAGAATGGCCCTGATTACATCTTCCCAAATAAGTGGTTATCACGCTGGTTATTCGTGCAGCTATGCATTATTGATTGGCCTTCGCCTGGCTGCACACCAGATGGGTGGGGGTGGGGTGCAGATGGGGCTGGGTGTGGGGGGCGGGGTGGGTGAATGGGGAGGATGTTTGGGGGCCCAGAGGCTGAATAGAAATCAACAGTCGCTCTCGCAGCTGCAGCTCCCATGTAAGGAAGGGGGGACTCATTACCTCTCTATTCAGAGGGGCCCAGGGCTGAGGCGCCGGGAGGGGAGAGAGTCTGGCGCAGCCTGAGCCTGGACGTGCATTATTCATGAAGCCCCCTCACAGGGTTGGTTATTATCCCGAACCACTATAGAGTTCGGTCTTCTAATTTTTAATCACAGGGAAGGTGGAAATGTTAGCCTTTTGTGATTAATCTGGAGATAAAAATAGTTGACTGTTTTGGTGTTGGGCTTGTTGTCAGTCAGGAAAAAATGCATTAACTGTTGGGTGGCTGAGGACTGGGGACCACCTGAGTGGGTCCTGGAAAAGCCGGTCCCCGGCATGTGCTTGGTAGCCCCGGTCTTCTGGGTGGAGGGGGGACCCCAGGCGGATTTGTCTGAATCACAGGCTGGGAAGAGGGCTGCAGGCTAAGCAAGGTGACAGGTCAGAGACACCTGGCTGAGGGGTAGGAGCAGGTTAGCTTGCTGTTACGCATCCGGGGCATCCCCAGCCCCCAGGGACGAGGGCAGGGCTGGGGAGTGGGAGCGTGAGAGCTGACTGGCCTGGCCTGGAGGGAGGGTGCCCCAGGCCCCTGGCCCACCCTGCCAGCGCCTCTCACACCTTCAGAAACTTCCTCCCTCCCAGAGCCCCAGCTGCAGCCCCGGGAGGGGAAGCGTCCCTTCCCTCCTTCCCTCCTGACCTTCCTCTCCCCTCATTTCTTCCATTCCACATCTTTCACATCACAGCCTGGGCAGATAACTGGGGAAAACCAGACCCGGCCGCCCTCCTGGAGACCTTCGGCCTCAGGCGTGGGCTCAGGTGCACCCGCAGGACCACACCACCCACGGGCTTGTGACAAATGCAGCTGCTGGGGCTCCACCTCAGGCCCCCGAATCAGGCTTGGCATCGGAGAAGGGCCCCGGGAACTGGTGCGGCCCCGTGTTTGAGGAGCGCCGCTCTGGAGGGCTCCAGGGAACACTTACGGACTGACAGACTGACGCGGCTGAGAAGGAGAGGCGGCTGCACGCAGGCGGGGCCCTTCAGCCCCGGCCAGTGCCCTCTTCCCTCTCAGCCTCCTGGGTTAGGTTGCAGCAAGGGCCTCGGGGTCGCCAGGGACTCGGCTTGCGGTTGGGGACCGTGTTTCATAATGGGTTCCTCTGCAGAGGGCACTTCCTTGACTGGGGATACTGGAGGGCTTCCCCCTTCTCCTGGGCCTCCCTTCCCCATCCTTCAAGGCTGAGCTCATGGGTTCGTGAGGTCTTTCTGGAATCTCCCAGTTGAATAAAGTGACTTCTGACCGTGACCCCACAGCGTCCTGGGCATCCCCAAAGCTAAGCTATTCTGTGGCAATGATCTGACTGTATTTGAACTAGTAGCATTTCCACTTTATAGATTAAGGAACGGAGGCTCAGAGAAGACAAAGTACTTGGCTAAGGTAAGACAGCAGGGAAGTGGAAGAGCTGGGATTTCGACCCAGGTTTGTTTGACCCTGTAATTCGTTCCGCTACAGTCAGAGCTGCTTGCAGGCCGCACTGGAAGCGGCAGCATCCTTCACGGCCCTTGCATTACCACTCTGGCCTGCGTCCTGCTCACGAGCCCAACGCTGGCACAGGCTCTGCCTATGCCTGTGACATTCAGACCCCTCAGTCTGAGTTCCACAGGGCGAGGGAGCAGGGGCCTAGCTGGCAGTTGGTGCTTGAGAAGCATCTGCTGTGGGAATGGACAAACGGTGTCCGCAGATCAGATCCACGCCTTGCTCATTTTTGCCTCTGCCCATGTTCTGAGACACCTGGAATCCTAGCCACCTCTATTCCTCACGCGCACACGTGCGCCACCTGCTGGCCAAAGTGAAGAACCGCAGAATGTAAAGACAGGACCGAGAAGGCTTTTAGGGATCTGCTCCCCAGGGCTCGCTCACCATCGATTCAGAAAATTCACATGGAGCGCCCACTCCGTGTCAGGCCCTGTTTGAGGCAGAGGGACACAAAGCGCCTGCCCAGGTGGAGCTTATATCCTAGCGGAGAGACAGATCATGAAGAATCCATACATGGCCCTGGCTGGAGTGGCTCAGTGCACTGAGTGCCAGCCTGGGAACCAAAGGGTCGCCGGTTTGATTCCCAGCTGGGGCACATGCCTGGGTTGCAAGCCAGGTCCCCAGCAGGGGGCACACGAGAG